ATGAATTGGTCAAACACAAATGTAGCTGAGAAAAGTGAGAAACGATGCATATTTGAAGCTTGTCTGGCCTCCCACAGTGAGAATGTGGGAGGCCAGAGAATCCCTGCACCAGTCAACATGGCCGCTCCGTCTTGTTCTCTGTCTCCTGTCTCCCTCCGGACACCGCCGTCGCCATGGAAACTGTTGTGCGGTTTTGTTGTTGTGTGTTTTTTTTCCTGTTGCTGAGATTCTGAGCGAAACCAGACAAGAGAAAATGTGACAGCTGCGACCTGACGACTGCAGAGACTGTCAGCGAAAATACATACAATCCACACAACAGTCCAGGAAGTGCTTCTGTTTCTGAACTCTCTGCTGCAAATGATGCTCGGAAACACTGCTTTTAACACCACAACTCTCACAGCAGTCAATCAGACGGCTCCTGTAGGAAACTTCATCCTGTCTTCAATAGAAATATAGGCATGTGGTGGTTCTTCTACACCAGACAATAGTAAGTTTGCCATGTTATAGTAGACTGTTGATGTACCGTCAAAACATCAAGGTACGTGGCCAAAATGCCAAATACCTTCAATCTGACGTTAGCTTTAGCCGTGTGATTCCTCAGCTCATGTTGGGTCCTGGTTTCCTGCCTTTGTGACTTCTTCTTTATCTGTATGTAGTTAATTTCATTGTCATTGTTTTTATAAAATTATCTTGTATGATTTCAAAGCCTTGGATGTGATTGTCCTTGTTTTGTGAAGCACTTTGAAATGCTGTACTTATGAACTGTGATACAAAAATAAGCTTTGTTGCTTGCCTTTATTTTTTAAAATTTGCATTCTACCTATATCTCTAGTAATATCACTGTAAATTGGAGGAAAACTTCATCCATGCTAGCAAGTAAGCATTGTCCACCTGTATACAGCCGCTTTGGCCTGTGTTCTGATTGGCTGAGTGAGGGTGGTCTTTTTCACTGCACAGTAAAATTCAAATGGAGCACTCTGCAACCCACACGTAAATTGTACTAATTAAAATCAATGAATGTGGCCCCTCGAGGACCAGCGGTCCTTGTTCTGAGCCGAGATGAGAGACACCTGAGACGATCCAAGAACTGCAGGGTGCCAGATGCCGTACACCTACATGGAACGCCAGGACCAAGTGGCTGGTTTAGTGTCGGAAACCCCAAGGTCACGATGGAAAACTGGAGGTGGAGAATGAGAAGATAATGTGGGACTTCCAGATACAGACCGACCGAATGGTAATGAACCAACCTGACATCTGTGGTGGACAAAGAGCAGAGGAAAGCCATGGTCTGAAGGTGAAGGAGACAGTAGTGAGAGAGGAGAGGGTCTGAAGGTAAAGAAGACAGTAGTGAGAGAGGAGAGGGTCTGAAGGTAAAGAAGACAGTAGTGAGAGAGGAGAGGGTCTGAAGGTAGAGGAGACAGTAGTGAGAGAGGAGAGGGTCTGAAGGTAAAGAAGACAGTAGTGAGAGAGGAGAGGATCTGAAGGTAGAGGAGACAGTAGTGAGAGAGGAGAGGGTCTGAAGGTAGAAGAGACAGTAGTGAGAGAGGAGAGGGTCTGAAGGTAGAGGAGACAGTAGTGAGAGAGGAGAGGGTCTGAAGGTAGAGGAGACAGTAGTGAGAGAGGAGAGGGTCTGAAGGTAGAGGAGACAGTAGTGAGAGAGGAGAGGGTCTGAAGGTAGAGGAGACAGTAGTGAGAGGAGAGGGTCTGAAGGTAGAGGAGACAGTAGTGAGAGAGGAGAGGGTCTGAAGGTAGAGGAGACAGTAGTGAGAGAGGAGAGGGTCTGAAGGTAGAGGAGACAGTAGTGAGAGGAGAGAGTCTGAAGGTAAAGGAGACAGTAGTGAGAGAGGAGAGGGTCTGAAGGTGAAGGAGACAGTAGTGAGAGAGGAGAGGGTCTGAAGGTAGAGGAGACAGTAGTGAGAGGAGAGAGTCTGAAGGTAAAGGATACAGTAGTGAGAGGAGAGAGTCTGAAGGTAAAGGAGACAGTAGTGAGAGAGGAGAGGGTCTGAAGGTAGAGGAGACAGTAGTGAGAGAGGAGAGGGTCTGAAGGTAAAGGAGACAGTAGTGAGAGAGAGGAGAGGGTCTGAAGGTAAAGGAGACAGTAGTGAGAGAGAGGAGAGGGTCTGAAGGTGAGATGTGAGGAGTTTTTCTTTAAATATTAGGGCAACAGTGGCTCAGTTGGTAGAGCACTGGCCTTTGAGCCTGAAGGCCATGTGGGTTCGAGCCCACCACAAGACTTTCTCCACCGACTCCCCGCTGTCGTTGTGTCCTTGGTCCTTTACCCTGTGTACATCTGTGATGGGAGACACTAGGTGCCGCCGTGGGGCAGCTGTGGCTGTAAAGTTCCAAACTGCCGTTGTGACACTCACGTTGCTGAGAATGAGTCTGGTGTGTGTGAATGGTTGGTGGTGGTCAGAAGTCAATGGCACATACTGGTTGCCTTGCTTCTGTCAATGTGGCTCAGGGCAGCTGTGGCTACAGTAGTAGTTTATCACCACCGTGTATGGAGTGAATGAATCATCTTTGAGTGTCCAAAGAAGCGCTATACAAAACTGATGCATCAAATGTTTAAGCCTGAAGGTCGTGGGTTTGAGCTCACTGCAATACCTTCTCCACGACGCCCACTGATGTCTGCTGTCGTTGTGTCCTTGGGCAGGACACTTAACCCCACTTTCATCGACAGAGAAGCCATCCTCCTGTGTACTCACCACCTGCAGGAGGACCAGCTGGTGCTCTGTGAATTGGGTGTAGCTCTGACTGCCACCTGAGCCAGAAATGGATTAAGGGGAAGAAGATTAATGGATGGATGGATATACTAATTTAACTGTAGCCATGCATGTTTTAAGGCAAAGTGCTGTGTTCAGAATCGGTTTTTGCTTGGTTGTTTCATATTCTCCAGGCTCCAGCTGCAGTGACCTTTAAGAACGTCGTGACACTGATACAACCTGACCTGCTTTTGTTGTAGATAAACAGATTCTGTGAACGAAAATCAAAAATAAAATGTCTTTTATCGGTTTATGTTTACACCAATTATTTTCTAGTTTTAAGAACCAATAAATAGCAACTGTTTCTCATGAATAGGATTTTCCTTCTCATGACTTTATGGTGCACTGATGTTGTGACAAAAATGTAACGTGGGTGTGGCGCCCTCTGCTGGTTTCTGAAGGCGTTACAATAATCACAAACAATAATGAGGAAGACCAAACACTAGAGGAGGAAGATAATAGCATTGTAAGTGAGGTCAGTGGGCTGTGGTAGTGAGGTCCTGCTTGTGTTATTTATATTATACTTATTATTATTACTTTTCAATCTTGATGGTTCATAATCCTGGAGGGTGGTGAGACGGTATAATTGGGTTTCTTTAACTACTAAACTCAAGAATACACCCTGCTGTGTCCTATGATGTGGTCCTTGTTGGATATTCTGATTTGACCATGGAACAACTTCAGTCTTAGATCTAAAGCCTCAGTCCTGGATCTACAGCCTCAGTCCTGGATCTATTGCCTCAGTCTTGGATCAACAGCCTCAGTTTCCTGTTTTATGTTTTTTTTTTTTTTCTGTGGTGGACTCTGAGGAAACATGAGAAATATTAGTAAAAATTTCGGCTTTGTCTGCGGCATTTTATTGGTCCTGCCCCGGAGTTTCCACTTTTCCTCCAGGGTTTAAGCTTCCTCATTTTTCAAACGTCTGTGTGGAGGAAACAGCTGCAGCAGTAAGAGTAAGAGTAGCAGTGTAATAGCAGTAGCAACAGTACAAATGGATAACTATGAATATTTGTTAAGCCCTAATCGCACAGTATTAGATTAGTATTACCTGTGTAACTCACATTACAAAAAGATCTTCATCAAAGATCTTCAGCAAAATTATTACATAATAAATTAAGTAATAATTAACTAATATAGAAGACAAAACAGCTGCATGAGTCATTACTGGCAGTCAGATTGACTGCTCTGTAAGTTCCACTGATAGAAGACACATTATATGCATATGTGTTTGTGTCCTTAGGCAAGACACTTCAGCCATCTTAGAAGGAGACTGGTGTGTGTGTGAATGGTTGGTTGGTGGGGGTGGGAGGGGCCGATGGCACAGACTGGTTTCCTTGATTCTGTCAGTGTAGCCCAGGGCAGCTGTGGCTAGAGTACCCAGGGCAGCTGTGGCTATAGTAGTACTCTATCAGCACTGTGTTTGGAGTGAAAGAATGACATGTGTGTCCAGAAAAGCGCTGTGAAAAATCTGATGCGTCATTATTATCATATGTATTATCTGACAATACAACGCACACGCACACTCACGCTGTTAGCACAAAAACCAGTCCATGCGGAGTTTCCGAACGGGGCGGAGTCTCAGACATGTGTTTACAAAAGACTAGGAAGTCAGCTTTAAAACACGCACCGGGTGAAACATACCAGCAGAGACACACTCACCAGCAGAGGCACACACCAGCTGAGACAGACACACCAGCAGAGACACACACCAGCTGAGACAGACACACCAGCAGAGACACACACCAGCTGAGACAGACACACCAGCAGAGACACACACCAGCAGAGACACACACCAGCAGAGACACACACCAGCTGAGACAGACACACCAGCAGAGACACACATCAGCTGAGACAGACACACCAGCAGAGACACACATCAGCTGAGACAGACACACCAGCAGAGACACACACCAGCTGAGACAGACACACCAGCAGAGACACACACCAGCTGAGACAGACACACCAGCAGAGACACACACCAGCTGAGACAGACACACCAGCAGAGACACACACCAGCTGAGACAGACACACCAGCAGAGACACACACCAGCTGAGACAGACACACCAGCAGAGACACACACCAGCTGAGACACACATACCAGCTGAGACACACATACCAGCTGAGACACGCACCAGCTGAGACACACACCAGCTGAGACACACACCAGCTGAGACACACACCAACTGAGACACACACCAGCAGAGACACACACCAGCTGAGCCTCAGGAGCAGGCACCATGTGGGGAGCTCTGCTGGTGGACTGCACCAGTGGAGACTGTAGCGCGCGTCAAAGACCGTCACTTTTGGAGCCGTTGATTGGCGCAGATAGTCACGTGTTTTTGCTTCACGCTGCCAAGAGATCTGATGATGACGTAGACGCGCTCTGGGGCGGATTTAAGAGCGTACACGTGTTGGATGACGTGAGCACGGCCTGTAACTTGTACCGCTTCAAACAGGCGCTGGACGCACGCGACATCTGCGCAGTGAGAGTGCGCACATCTGCGGCGGGGCGGGCGCGGCTGGAGGCGTACGTCCAGCTCCTGTTCACGGCGGTCTACAGCTTTGACTTTGATCTGTTTGAGGAGGAGGAGTCCGGCTTTGGAGGCGGGGCTCCAGGGGCACGCGCGTGTGAGAGCCGCGCGCACCACACGGACACACGCGCCGATGCACGCGCTGACGAAGTGCGCAAAGATGTGGCGCAGTTTATGCAGCAGCTGCCAGCGCTAAAGGGACAGGTGTCCGTCAGCAGGTCCTCCCTCATCCCAGGTGAGTGTGTTTATGGATCTGTAATAATAGATGGATCGGGTATTACCTGGACCCATGGGTATTACTCAGAGCCATGGTATTACCTGGACCCATGGGTATTACTCAGAGCCATGGTATTACCTGGACCCATGGGTATTACTCAGAGCCATGGTATTACTAGCCTAAAGCTGTCCCAGCCACGGCCGCGGGGGGCACTGCAGACTAAACTCGTGGGCTACATGTCCCAACTAAAACGGCTCGACCTCAGCTGACAGAGAACCTACAGCTTTCATAAAGGTCAGATTTTGTGGGGAGTTTAGTGTCCCTTGTCATCCTGAACTTTTTGTCTAGTCAAATCCTTTGGTTTTCAATAAATCCACTCGTAAGTGCAACAAACTCTGCTGGTTTTCCTCCCGCTCTGACTCCACTCTGATCAGCAGCTCTGATTGGTCAGAACGCTGCCCCTCTGTGAAAGTGCATGTGAGTCATACAGGCGTATTTGGCGCAAAGCATCATGGAAGTTCGTCCACTGCACAGAACAGGGGAGGACAGACGATGCCCAAATATGGGCAAGTTCCCCTAATCTTTTTGTCCCCGTGGCTGTCCCATGCACCCCTCATGGATCTATCATGGTGTGTTCATGTTCTCTCAAATGCGAGCAGTCCAAAAGCAGTCAATATGACGGCTATAGTTTTGGAATCGTCAGACTTAGCGTTTGTGCATTCTTGCTCACCACAGCTTTGTCCCTTTTTCTGTTTCTATACAGTATGTAGTTTCTACTCTCTCGTCTCTCCCCTCAGACTGTCTCACTCTGGTTTCTCTCACAGATATCTTTGGTCTCACTTTAGTCTCTCCTCACAGATATCTTTGGCCATGGCTTCAGCTCTCGAGGAGGTGGGATCTCCTACATCTCCACTCTCTCCTCCCTGAACCTGTTCAGCAGCAGCAGGAGGAAGGACCCTGTATCTGTGGTGGAGGAGAACAGGAGGCGCCTGGCCCTGGAGGCAGGGTTCAACCACAAAGACCTCCTCTTTCCTAAGGTACTGACCACACTGAGGCACCTCCTCCCCATGTTACAGACCACACCGAGTCACCTCCCACTGAGGCACCTCCTCCCCAACAGTACCATGTGTGACCCTCCTCTCCTGCAGGTGGACCATGGCAGTACCATGTGTGTTACCATGTGTTGTACCTATGTGGTTCCATGTGTGACCCTCCTCTCCTGCAGGTGGACCATGGCAGTACCATGTGTGTTACCATGTGTTGTACCTATGTGGTTCCATGTGTGACCCTCCTCTCCTGCAGGTGGACCATGGCAGTACCATATGGGTGCTGGGGCAGCCGGAGCCTCAGTGTTATGACGGGATGGTGACAGACCGGACGGGGGTGGTGCTGGCTGCTCCAGGAGCCGACTGCCTCCCCCTGCTGTTCTGTGACCCTGAGAAAAGGGCTATAGGAGCTACACATACAGGTACACACTCAGAGGGACACACACCCACAGATACACACACACACACACACACAGGAACACATTCACAAGGGGACACACACTCACAGGTACAGAACATGGATCTATTATAATAACTGGATAGGGTATTACTAGCTTGTAGCTGAAGAACTCATGTGCTCCGGGGATTCTCGCGGTACTGCAGACTGAACCAGACTAAATTCACGTGGGCTACCCAGAAATTTTCCCCATAGAACTCACTGTAAACAAAAACAGCTCAACCTCAGCTGACAGAGAACCTACAGCTTTAATAAAGGTCGGATTTTGTGGGGATTTTAGTGTCCCTTGTCATCCTGAACTTTTTTTCTTAAATTCTTCGGTTTTGTTTAAATCCACACTTTAGTGCCACAAACTCTGCTCCTCTGGCTCTCGCTCTAACTCCCGCTCTGATGAACTGCTCTGAGCCGAGCCCCTCTGTGCACGTGCGTGAGACCCGGTGTGAGACCCACACACGCGTGTTTGGCGCAACGCATTATGGGAGATCATCCACTGCGCAGAACCGGGAGGACCAGACGATGCCCAAATACAGGCCAGTTTCCCAAAGTTCTTTGCGAGTTTCCCATAGATCTTTGCGAGTTTCCCATAGATCTTTGCGAGTTTCCCATAGATCTTTGCGAGTTTCCCATAGATCTTTGCGAGTTCCAGGCGACTTCCGCTAATCTTTCAGCCCCCATGCCGTCACAAAGCGCCACTGAGCACAACTATTCATTTGAATTGGGCGCCATCTTGGATCACCGGGGCTTGGTACAGAACCACACTCTGATCTCTATTTGGTCTCTCTCGCTGATTTCTCTCTCTCTAGTCTCTCTCAGGCCTCTCTCTCTGGTCCCTCTCTGGTCTCTCTCTCTGGTCTCTCTCTCTCTGGTCTCTCTCTCTCTGGTCCCTCTCTGGTCTCTCTCTCTGGTCTCTCTCTCTGGTCTCTCTCTCTCTGGTCTCTTTCTGGTTCCCACTGTCTCCTGGGTCGACGTGACATAGGCCTTGGATCTAAAAGCTTCTCTAACCTCGTGTGACGCTCTTCTCCTCCCACTCCTCCTCTCTCCCTCCCTCCTGCCCCTCTCTCTCTCTCTCTCCCTCTCCCCCTCCTCCTCCCTCTCCTCCTCTTCCTCCTCCTCCTCGTCCTCTTCCTCCTCATCCTCTCTCTCTCTCTCTCTCCCCCCCTGTCCCCCTCCTCCCTCTCAGGCTGGAAAGGCACCCTGCTGGGGGCGGCCGTGGCCACAGTGCAGTGTATGGAGGAGCAGTTCCAGTGTGAGGCGAGGGCCCTGCGTGTGGTGGTGGGGCCCTCAGTGGGGGTCTGCTGCTACACTCTGCCCCAGGACCAGGCCCTCGCCTTCAGCCGCATCCACCCAGACTGTGTCCCGGACCCCGAGAGCCCCCAGCCCCACATCAACCTACGCCTGGCCAACAGGTACACACTGCAGCTAAAGATACACACTCTACTGCTGAAGATACACACTGTGCTGCTGAAGATACACACTGTGCTGCTGAAGATACACACTGTGCTGCTGAAGATACACACTCTACTGCTGAACATACACTCTACTGCTGAAGATACACACTCTTTACTGCTAAAGATACACACTATGCAGCTAAAGATACACACTTGAAAAATCAGTCAAAAATGCCTTAAATTTGTCAAAATGCATCTAAATTTGAGCACATCCTGACTGCCTTAAAACAAGATTTGTCAATGACACAAAGCAAAATGTCCCATTGGAGAATCTTGTTTTCACACAGTCAGAATGAACTCAGATTAAGAGAAAAACCTGGATTCAAGCATTTATTGACACATAATTTATCATTTTTTGCAGTGTAGAGAAGAAGGATAAGAGAAAGACAGAGACCCCACTAAGACCAGGCGTAGTGCAGAGAGAGACCTCCGTTGTGGCAGCTGTATACCAAGTGTTCCGTAGACTACAGCGAGCAGAGAGGATAACAACGTGTGATGTTTGTTTTCAGGGTGCTTCTGCAGAAGGGTGGGGTTTTGCCGGAGCACATTCACGACAACACAGTGAGCGACGGAGCGGAGGTCACGGCCTGCACCTCCTGCCAGCCCCACAAGTACTTCTCACACTTCAGAGACGGAGCCAACTTTGGGACCCAGATCGGATTCATCTGGATCAGAGAGACTGAAGCTGAGACCAGGACTGGACCAGACTGAGAGAGAGACTACAGAGGAGACCAGGACTGGACCAGACTGAGAGAGAGTGACTACGGAGGAGACCTGGACTGGACCAGACTGAGAGAGAGTGACTACGGAGGAGACCAGGACTGAACCAGACTGAGAGAGAGAGACTACGGAGGAGACCAGGACTGGACCAGACTGAGAGAGAGAGACTACAGAGGAGACCAGGACTGGACCAGACTGAGAGAGAGAGACTACAGAGGAGACCAGGACTGGACCAGACTGAGACTACGGAGGAAACCAGGACTGGACCAGAGAGAGAGACTACAGAGGAGATCAGGACTGGACCAGAGAGAGAGAGACTACAGAGGAGACCAAGACTGGACCAGACTGAGAGAGAGACTACAGAGGAGACCAGGACTGGACCAGACTGAGACTACGGAGGAAACCAGGACTGGACCAGACTGAGTGAGAGAGACTACAGAGGAGACCAGGACTGAACCAGACTGAGAGAGAGACTACAGAGGAGACCAGGACTGAACCAGACTGAGAGAGAGACTACAGAGGAGACCAGGACTGGACCAGACTGAGTGAGAGACCACAACCAAAAGACCAGGACTGATGCAGAGGAGTGAAAGTTCTGAGATGAAGTCAGACCGATTGAACTTTGCTCAACTTGAGTAAATCTGACGGACTGAGATCCTCCAGAGTCTCGTGGGTGTTTCCCAACCAGTGGGCCTTTGGACACAATCCACTATCACCTGATTGGTCCAAATTATGTGAGAAGATAAGAAGGACTTGTTTGACTTTCTTTGTACTACACTTTGATGAGAATGACTTTGCTTTGTTAATAAATGCTGCAGATTCAGATTGGTGTGAATGTGACTGTTTCCTGCTCTGAGCTCGTACCCATGTGACCACTGCTGCTCTCTGATTGGTTGTTGAACATGCGTCAAGCAAAAAGTGGTTGAGCAATATTCATCTCTGGTCTCTCTCTCTCTCTGCCGTTGGTCTCTCTTTCTGGTGTCACTCTCTCTCTCTCTGGTCTCACTCTCTCTGGTCTCTCTCTCTGCCGTTGGTCTCTCTTTCTGGTGTCACTCTCTCTGCCGTTGGTCTCTCTTTCTGGTGTCACTCTCTGGTCTTACTCTCTCTGGTCTCTCTTTCTGCCGTTGGTCTCTCTTTCTGTTGTCACTCTCTGGTGTTACTCTCTCTGGTCTCAATCTCTCTTTCTGGTCTCTCTGATCTCAATCTCTTTCTGGTCTCACTCTCTTTCTGGTCTCACTCTCTCTGGTCTCACTCTCTGGTCTCACTCTCTCTCTGGAACAACAAAGTGATTTGTGTTGTTACAGTGCTGCAGTTTCAGCTTCTGTCAGTCTGTCTCAGGGCAGCTGTGGCCAAACTGTGGAGCGTGTGCTGTTTACTACCACTGTTTTGTCGTTGTATACACAAAAACTCTAAAGAATGGGCCACACACACACACACGCATACAGGGACACACAGACGTTTCAGGTCGCATTTATTTTGAAAGACACGTCATTTTGAATGTTACAAACAGATCAAAACATTGATACAATAACTTTAAAAAATCTTATTAAAATCTAACGTTCTGGTCACATCTTCAGAGAAAAACCATCTGATTCTGAGAAACACACACCATCAGAGGACCTCAGTGGAACCAGCAACACCATCAGAGGAGCTCACTGTGGAACCAGCAACACCATCAGAGGACCTCAGTGGAACCAGCAACACCATCAGAGGAAGTGGAACCAGAAAGACCAAAGCCTTCCGTTCTACGTCATTAATAAAGCTGCCGATCACTGCAACATTATCTGCAGTGAATGAATCAGAAACAGTCGTAAGAATAAATAAAGTGAGGTCTAACGTGAGGTCTAACGTGAGGTCTAACGTGAGGTCTAATCTCTACAGACAGTTGCAAACCACAGCACCTTAGAACTGCTGCAGAGTGAGGTCAATGAAGTGCTATGTCCTCAGCAGGAGATGCATGTGACATCACAGCCTATAGCCTATAGGGGTCACATTGTGAAAAACGTCAGAGTAACTATGGTCTCTCTCTCTGGTCTCTCTCTCTGGTCTCTCTCTCTCTGGTCTCTCTCTCTCTCTGGTCTCTCTCTCTCTAGTCTCGCTCTCTCTGGTCTCGCTCTCTCTGGTCTCGCTCTCTCTGGTCTCGCTCTCTCTAGTCTCGCTCTCTCTGGTCTCTCATGTTGTTCTAGATTTCAAACCACAGAAAGTGAATGTATGTTCTAAATTCCAGTTTCTTCTTCCTCTCTAAAACAGATACTGCAGATAGAGCTACATTTTGGGCCAAAAGTTGATGATTAGCATGGACAGCTCTAAAAACAGCTGCAGGTCTGTGACTGAGGTCAGTGTTGGGACATGAACTAAAGTCTGCAGTGTGCACCGCACCATGTTAGACGTGGCTCCTACACAAACAGGATCTAACGCGTTTTCAAAGAGTCTGTTTTCACTCAACTAAACTAGACTCCAAGAACTCCCAGAACAGTCATTTTGACTGTTAACGTTCAAACCAATGGAAAATTCACCAAATATTTGCAGTCATTTTGATAAGAGCTAAAACTGGCACACGCACAAGTAACAAGTAGAACTCACGTTTCAGAAATACAGTTATTTCATTAAATAACGACATAAAAACCAACTGTAAGGAACAGAAACAAAGGCGTCAGTTTGACTGCTGTGGGAGTTCTGGTGTCAATGAAGCTGCCGTACATAAAAGAACACATCATCATCAAAAGATACAATTATCAAAATTAACTATTGTTGACGTGAATCCAAAACACATTTGTTCAAAGGAACATTTTCAAGATTTTCTCCAGATTTTGCTACTTTCTTATGATCTATTTCAAACAGAACTAGAAATATTAAAGGTCCCATAGTACGCTTTTCAACATTTCCCTAAAACTTTACTGACAGAGCAGCTTTTTATTTCATTCTCCAGATTCAAATCGTGACGTCAGATTCCACCTCCAGGAGGTGATTGACAGCGGGGAGAAACTGAGACAGTGAATCTGCGCAGTATATGATCAGAGCCTCTCTCTGAGTCCAGTGTCTGGTCCATAGACTGTAAATATTAGTCTGGTGATCTTGAAACCTGGTTTTATCCCCAAAATAAAAGAGGCTAAAGAGGAGCATAGATCTGTGGGTACAGTGCTGCTCGCTGTATGCTTCTGTGAACTAAATAATTAGGGTCTGATTCTGGATCAAGGACATAACGGCTCGATGTGACGGAGCATTGTGGGAAAAAGTTTATCCTCGGGTCTGCAATAATTCTGTACTGACTGTTTACTCCCTCGTTAGCGTGAGCCTACGTCGCTGTGGGGGGAGAAGGGCTCATATGGGAAGGAGCAGAGATCCAGGCTTTTATATTGAGGTGAGATCACCTCTATCCAAGAAATGTCTATAATTGAACATGTTTTTAGTGTTGTATGGAGTATCACCCACATTATCCTCACACCTGTGCTGAGGACTGTGACACTGGAAGAGGAGCACATTATGGGACCTTTAAATAACAATAATAATAAAACTCACAGGAATACGTCACAACATTCTTCAGTCTTCAAAAGTGTCCTTCATATTGTTGTAAATAAATAAAAGCTTTCAAAAGTTTTGAAGCAGGGTCCTGAGAAGAAGCTTTAAAAAGTAGAAGTTAGACATATGTCTAAGTTCTCAACTGCAGGTGCAGAGCTGCAGTCCGGCCAGCAGGGGGAGCAGGTTCAGCAGCAGCAGCCACAGAGTGAAGGCCAGACCAGAGGAAGAGGAGCATGGGTCTGTAAGAAATACAGGATGTTAGAGATACACTTAGAGACTGTGTTTATTTATATATATATACATATATATACATATATATACATATATACATATAATATATATATATATATATATATATATATATATATATATATATATATATATATATATATATTATATATATACATATATATATATATATATATATATATATATATATATATGTATATATATATGTATGTATATATTAATATATATATGTATGTATATATATATATATATATATATACACATATATATATACATATATATATATACATATATATATATATATATATATATACATATATATATATACCATCAAATGATGGTATCATAGTGACCATCAAATGTGGTATCTACCAAGGAGATGCTCTGTCCCCACTACTGTTCTGCATAGGCCTCAACCCTCTAAGCCAAGTAATTGACCAGACTGGCTATGGATACCGCCTCAGGAACGGAGCAAAGATCAGTCACCTCCTCTACATGGATGACATCAAGCTGTACGCCAAGAGCGAGAGAGACATCGACTCTCTGATCCAAACAACCAGGATCTACAGCCATGACATCGGGATGTCATTCGGGCTCGAGAAATGTAGCAGGATGGTGACTCGGAGAGGAAAGATAGTCCACACAGAAGGGATCTCACTCCCAGAGGGAACAATAGCAGACGTTGAGGACAGTTACAAGTATCTCGGTATACCACAGGCAAATGGCAACCTCGAACAGGTGACGAGGAAAGCGGCAACTGCCAAATACCTCCAGCGAGTAAGGCAGGTCCTAAGAAGCCGGCTCAATGGCAAGAACAAGGCCCGGGCAATTAACAGCTACGCCCTGCCAGTGATCAGATACCCTGCAGGAATAATCAGGTGGCCAAAGGAAGAGATTCAGACCACGGATGTTAAAACTCGAAAGCTCCTTACCATGCATGGCGGGTTCCATCCCAAATCCAGCACCCTGAGACTGTACGTAAGCCGTAAAGAAGGAGGCCGAGGACTAGTGAGTGTGAGAGCCACTGTCCAGGACGAAACATCCAAACTCCATAACTACATCATGGAGAAGGCCAAAACGGATGACGTACTCAGTGAATGTCTCAGGCAGTGGCGAGATGAGGAGGTGCTGGAGGAGAGCCCATCATGGGAGAACAAGCCCCTACACGGCATGTACCACCGGAGCATAACAGAAGTGGCTGATCTCAAGAAGTCCTACCAATGGCTAGAAAGGGCTGGCCTACAGGACAGCACAGAGGCACTCATCATGGCTGCACAGGAACAGGCACTGAGCACCAGAGCGATAGAGGCCCAGATATACCACACCAGACAAGACCCAAGGTGTCGGTTGTGCAAAGAGGCACCTGAGACGATCCAACACATAACTGCAGGGTGCAAGATGCTGGCAGGGAAGGCCTACATGGAACGCCATAACCAAGTGGCTGGCATAGTGTACAGAAACATCTGTGGAGAGTATGGGCTGGAAACCCCAAGGTCTAAGTGGGAAACTCCTCCAAAGGTGGTGGAAAATGAGCGTGCGAAGATCCTGTGGGACTTCCAGATACAGACCGACCGAATGGTAATGGCAAACCAACCTGACATCGTGGTGGTAGACAAAGGGCAGAGGACAGCCGTGGTGGTGGACGTGGCAATTCCAAGCGATGGTAACATCCGGAAAAAAGAACATGAAAAGCTTGAGAAATACCAAGGTCTCAGAGAGGAGCTGGAGAGGGCCTGGAGGGGAAAAGGTGACAGTAGTGCCCGTGGTGATCGGTGCACTCGGGGCAGTGACCCCGAAGCTAGATGAGTGGTTACAGCGGATCCCCGGAACAACCTCGGACATCTCGGTCCAGAAATGTGCAGTGCTAGGAACAGCAAAAATACTGCGCAGAACCCTCAAGCTCCCAGGCCTCTGGTAGAAGACCCGAGCTTAGAGAGGGATAACCGCCCGCGGAGGGCCAAAGGTGAGTGGACAATTTTATACATATATATATACATATATACATACATATATATATATACATACATATATATATACATATATATATACATATATATATACATATATATATATACATACATATATATATACATACATATATATATACATACATATATATATACATATGTATATATACATATATATATACATATATATATACATATGTATATATATATATATATATACATATATATATATACATACATATATATATACATATATATATACATATATATATATACATACATATATATATACATATATATATACATATATATATATATACATATATATATACATATATATATACATATATATATATACATATGTATATATATATATATATATATATATATACATATGTATATATATATATATATATATATACATATGTATATATATATATATATATATATATGTATATATATCAACTAGAAGTATGTTTCACATATACATACTGTATATTAGGGTAATTATACATTCATTACATTATATAAAACGTTATAATTTTGCCCATGTTGAAAAATCTCAATGTTTGATTTGTTGTTTTTCCTTTATGAACCAATATATGTGTAGTTATACAGTAACTACTGTTTTGATTTAGGGCGGTACTAAAATACATTGATATGAATTGAATGTAAAAGGCCACAGACCGATGGGGGGGGTCCTGGAGGTGTTGGAGAGCAGGTGAGGGGGAGGGCACAGCTCACAGAAGAGCGAGCAGTCGGGACAGACCAGGACCCCGTTGTAGACCCAGTCTCTGTCCTGGACACTGACAGTGAGGGACTGTCCCCGTCTCACACACAGGAACGTCCTGCTGTGGACATGGACCAGCAAGCCCTGAGGAGAGCAAGACACCTGCAACACAGCTGTAAGTTAGAGATCTTAGAGAGGACCAGCAAGCCCTGAGGAGAGCAAGACACACCTGCAGGAGGAAAAAGAGGAGGAGAAGGAGGTGCGTACCTTGTAGCAGCCGGAGCCCCAGTCTGGGTAGCTCATTTTGCGTGTGCACTGCTCCATGACGAAGGCAGACTTTTGGTACAGACAGACGGAGTCCAGACCATAAGTCTCCGCGCCATAGTTCCTCCACCAGTCCGGCTGGTTCTGAGGGACGCGGCAGTACGAGTTCCTCTGGTACTCTCCGCTCAGGTGCCAGCTGAACTCCTGACTGAAGGGACAGAAGTCTGCGATCTCCACGGCTCCTCCGAAGAACCCCAGCTCGTCCGGTGCCACGCCCGCGATCTGGTCAAAGTACTGACACCACACGGATCTGGTCAAAGTACTGACACCACACGGATCTGGTCAAAGTACTGACACCACACGGATCTGGTCAAAGTACTGACACCACACGGATCTGGTCAAAGGAGTCCTGGAAAGTTCTGAATCTACAGTCTCAGTCATGAATCAACAGCCGACTACAACTACTGTTGTGATTTAGGGCTATACAAAAATACATGGAATTTAATCCGATTCAATTCGATTCCCACCCCAAGTGGAAACACCTCAAGGGTGGGGCTCACCTGGTACTGTGGGGCTCACCTGGTACTGTGGGGCTCACCTGGTACTGTGGGGGCAGCTCCTGGAGGTGCTTCTGCAGGTTGCACACAGCTACAGCGAGCTGATCCTGTCGACAGGTGAGCTGCAGAGGAGAGGCTCGCACTGTGGAGCAGAACGGACCCACAGAGAGAGTCCTGTAGGAACACACAAACACACAACTCTGTAGGAACACACAACTGTGACACAGAACAGACCCACAGAGAGAGTCCAGTATGAACACACAAACACACAACTCTGTAGGAACACACAACTGTGACACAGAACAGACCCACAGAGAGAGTCCAGTATGAACACACAAATACACTAGTAAACCGTATAACATGTCTAATTTTATCTACTCTAACATTCCATTGAAAACCCACCTGGTGACTACCTGGATCCACAGAATCAAAAATGAACACAAAATGAGTTTGACAACCCTGAGCTAGCGAGTGAACAGGTTAGCATTGTCCATCTATGTACAGTCTATGGGTCAATGGTCTATGGTTATGAACATCTCTTCAAACCGTGTTCTTTCTCCACGTCTCTGGGACACTCACCTGTGGCTCTGGTTGTCCATCCAGAACTTGCAGCTCTTCATCACGAAGTCGCAGCCGAGTCCACGGCCCCAGTCCAGACTCTGGGCCAGGCTGTAGTTAGCTTTGTACCATCCACTGTCCTCCATCAGCGCCAGGGTCAGCCGCGAAAACACTCTGTTCTGAGTGTGCGAGCCCGTCATGGCCTCGTTCTGCACAAACAGCAGCAACTGTGAGACTTTCTTTACAGCCCGCTCTGTTTCCTTCTTTATCATTACAGATGTTTATCTAAATATAATCTATTTAAGAAAGTAGTAAGCAAGTGAATTTTAACTTGGCTCATCTCACAGGTCATATTGATAGAAACATTGGGACTTTTTGGTTTGTTTTTTAGAGTAGTTTTGATCTAAAAAGGAAAATTATAATCAACAAAGCCAGCTATGAGTGGATCAACACGGACTTTATATCAAAGCCCATGTTAAAGCTCAGAACCGTCTGAATCCAGGAAAACATGTTTAAAAAGCTTCTTGTCTAAAGTCTGGTTATCTACAGTGCCTTCTCACTCAGAAGTGTGGACACCCCTGGTCGAGTGTGTGACATCACCTCCAGCAGCCTCTTCTCCCAGTGGTTGAGTTCGGTGCCAGTTCCTCCTTGGTTCTCCAGCTCCATCCCCTCCAGAATGGGACAGTCAAAGTGCCTCCTGGCTTCTTCCTATACAACAAGAACACAAAAACAGCTTTACAAATATATAATTTTTATATATTATATTTAGGTTGTGGCTCAGTTGGTGGAGCATTGGCCTTTGAGCCTGAAGGTTGTGGGTTTGAGCCCACCACAAGACCTACTACAGGACTCCCACTGATGACTGCTGTCATTGTGTCCTCGGGCAAGACTCTTAATCCCACTTTGCCTGAAGCTCCCACTGAAAGATCTCAGCTCCTGTGGACTCACCACCTGCTGGAGGATCAGTGAGGGGCTGGTGCTTTGTGTACTGGGTGCAGCTCTGACTGCCACCCCCGACCCAGAAATGGATTAAGGGGAAGAAAATGGATGGATGAATATTTAGGTTGTTGCACATGCTGCTCTTCCCTATATAAAGTTGTCCTTGTAAAACATGCGTGAGAATATTTATATTGTTCCATGTCGATGACAAATAATAATGTCATTCTCTCTAGTTCTGGCAGTGGCTGCACTGCTCGTTCACTTTAAAACTTACTTTGAAAGAGACTAGGGACAGAAGCCAGAGAGAGAGACCAGAGAGAGGCTAGAGAGAGGCTAGAGAGAGAGGCCAGAGAGGTGGACCAGAAAGAGAGACCAGAGAGTGTTTGTGTTTCTCACCCTGACTCTGGGCGTGACCAGCAGGTGCACCTGGTGTTGCAGCAGCCGTCCTCCTCGGGTGTTCCACAGTCTGCTCACTCTTCTGATCACAGACTCACTCCACTGGTACAGCCCCAGACTGCAGAGAGAGCAGAAATATTTACCATCAACCCAGACTGCAGAGAGACCAGGAATATGTACCTAGAAAGAGACCAGAGAGAGAGACTAGAGAGAGAGAGACCAGAAAAAGGGGATAAAAAAAGATGGTCAGATATACATGAAATGAAAAGAGAGTGGATCTGGTGACATTAGTGTGATTATTTATTTATATATATATATTATATATTCAGCAGTACGAGTTCCTCTGGTACTCTCCGCTCAGGTGCCAGCTGAACTCCTGACTGAAGGGACAGAAGTCTGCGATCTCCACGGCTCCTCCGAAGAACCCCAGCTTATATATATATAAGCTCCTTACCATGCATGGCGGGTTCCATCCCAAATCCAGCACCCTGAGACTGTACGTAAGCCGTAAAGAAGGAGGCCGAGGACTAGTGAGTGTGAGAGCCACTGTCCAGGACGAAACATCCAAACTCCATAACTACATCATGGAGAAGGCCAAAACGGATGACGTACTCAGTGAATGTCTCAGGCAGTGGCGAGATGAGGAGGTGCTGGAGGAGAGCCCATCATGGGAGAGCAAGCCCCTACATGGCATGTACCACCGGAGCATAACAGAAGTGGCTGATCTCAAGAAGTCCTACCAATGGCTAGAAAGGGCTGGCCTACAGGACAGCAGAGAGGCACTCATGGCTGCACAGGAGCAGGCCCTGAGCACCAGAGCGATAGAGGCCCAGATATACCACACCAGACAAGACCCAAGGTGTCGGTTGTGCAAAGAGGCACCTGAGACGATCCAACACATAACTGCAGGGTGCAAGATGCTGCAGGGAAAGCCTACATGGAACGCCATAACCAAGTGGCGGGCATAGTGTACAGAAACATCTGTGCAGAGTATGGGCTGGAAACCCCAAGGTCTAAGTGGGAAACTCCTCCAAAGGTGGTGGAGAATGAGCGTGCAAAGATCCTGTGGGACTTCCAGATACAGACCGACCGAATGGTAATGAACCAACCTGACATTGTGGTGGTGGACAAAGGGCAGAGGACAGCCGTGGTGGTGGACGTGGCAATTCCAAGCGATGGCAACATCCGGAAAAAAGAACATGAAAAGCTTGAGAAATACCAAGGTCTCAGAGAGGAGTTGGAGAGGGCCTGGAGGGGAAAAGGTGACAGTAGTGCCCGTGGTGATCGGTGCACTCGGGGCAGTGACCCCGAAGCTAGATGAGTGGTTACAGCCGATCCCCGGAACAACCTCGGACATCTCGGTCCAGAAATGTGCAGTGCTAGGGACAGCAAAGATACTGCACAGAACCCTCAAGCTCCCAGGCCTCTGGTAGAAGACCCGCGCTTAGAGAGGGATATCTGCCTGCGGAGGGCGAAAGGTGAGATTTTTTTTTATAGCAAAGGAAGGTTTCTCACCCATCATCTGTACTTCTTAGCAAGTTTTCCCGACGTTTCGTCCTCAACCTGGGGACTTCTTCAGGGAATGAATTCTCGGACCGCGCGTTGGAGATTTATAACCTATGGGTGTGGTAAGCCACACCCTAATCCTGATACTAACTCGTAAACAATCTCAGGTCTGCTTGATGTAGAAGGGAGCAGGTCTAACGACCCTGCTGAGGCTAACGACCCTAACTCCTTAGCATGTCACAGACCTATTGTCTGCTGGGATGCTCAAGTGGAGTGCAGGTTTCACCCCTCCTAACTCATTAGCATGTCACTGACCTTGTCCCAAGTTAGGGCGTTGTTTTTAGGATGTCGTCATAGATGCGAGGCAAAACAAATCTTAACCCTCCTCCTCTGTTAAGAGAAGGTTTCTGTTTCCTCACAAAAATAGCTTCTTTCACCCCTCTCTCAAACCAATTCTTCTCCCGAGCCAGAATTTTAACCTCTGTATCATCCACCGTGTGGTTGGAGGCCTTGAGGTGGAGATGAACAGCCGACTGTGGCCCACTAGAGTTTTCTCTACGATGTTGGTAAAGTCGTTTCTGTAGAGTTTGTTTGGTTTCTCCAATATAGTGGTCAGTGCACTCCTCTTCACTACATTTAATTGAATACACCACATTGCTCTGTTTGTGTCTGGGTGTTTTGTCTTTGGGATGCACTAATTTCTGTCTTAACGTGTTGAAAGGTTTGAAATACACAGGGATTTTGTGTTGCCTAAAGATTCTTTGTAGTTTCTCTGAAACTCCCGCCACATACGGTAAGGACACGCCTCTCCTCCTACTTTCTTCTGTCTGTTGGACTGTGTCTCTGGCCTTTCTCGTCCTTTGGGCTTTAGTAAAAGACCACTTGGGGTAGCCACATCTGGAAAGTGCTCTCTGAACATGTTTGGTTTCTCTGTTTTTTCCCTCCGAGCTCGTGGGGACCTGGTGGGCTCTGTGTTGAAGCGTTCTAATGACCCCGAGTTTGTGTTGTAGCGGATGATTTGAATCAAAAGCCAAGTACTGGTCAGTGTGAGTGGACTTTCTGAAGACCTCAGTCTCTAATTGTCCGTTCTCCAGTATGATGACCTTACAATCTAGAAAGGCGAGTTCACTCTCCTTAGCATCCTCGCGAGTGAAATTTATAAAAGGGTCCACCGAGTTAATGTGTGCTGAAAATGGTTCCACTTCCTGTTTCTTTAACTTAACCCTGTATCGTCTACATATCGAAACCAATGGCTTGGCGCTGTCCCTTGGTAAGAGCCCAGGGCTTGTTCCTCCAGTTTCTCCATATACAGATTGGCCACTATAGGAGAGACTGGGGAGCCCATCGCACAGCCATGAATCTGTCTAAAGAAGGTGCCTCTAAATTGGAAATACGTGGTGTTAAGACACATTTCAAGTATTTCACAGATGTGGTCAGCTGTTAGTTTCGTTCTCTCCCCTAGTGTGGCGTCTTTCTGTAGGCTTTCTCTTACAGCCTCCACCGCCTCTGTAATAGGGACCGACGTAAAAAGCGATGTCACATCAAACGAGACCATTGTCTCATCTGTGTCAAACTGGACACAGTTTGACACAGATGAGACAACAAAAGTTTGACAACAAAATGAGCTTTTGTTTGACAACTAATCTGTAGATGGAGAAACTGGAGGAACAAGCCCTGGGCTCTTACCAAGGGACAGCGCCAAGCCATTGGTTTCGATATGTAGACGATACATGGGTTAAGTTAAAGAAACAGGAAGTGGAACCATTTTCGTTACTATCATTAGTTTCAGAGAAACTACAAAGAATCTTTAGGCAACACAAAATCCCTGTGTATTTCAAACCTTTCAACACGTTAAGACAGAAATTAGTGCATCCCAAAGACAAAACACCCAGACACAAACAGAGCAATGTGGTGTATTCAATTAAATGTAGTGAAGAGGAGTGCACTGACCACTATATTGGAGAAACCAAACAAACTCTACAGAAACGACTTTACCAACATCGTAGAGAAAACTCTAGTGGGCCACAGTCGGCTGTTCATCTCCACCTCAAGGCCTCCAACCACACGGTGGATGATACAGAGGTTAAAATTCTGGCTCGGGAGAAGAATTGGTTTGAGAGAGGGGTGAAAGAAGCTATTTTTGTGAGGAAACAGAAACCTTCTCTTAACAGAGGAGGAGGGTTAAGATTTGTTTTGCCTCGCATCTATGACGACATCCTAAAAACAACGCCCTAACTTGGGACAAGGTCAGTGACATGCTAATGAGTTAGGAGGGGTGAAACCTGCACTCCACTTGAGCATCCCAGCAGACAATAGGTCTGTGACATGCTAAGGAGTTAGGGTTGTTAGCCTCAGCAGGGTCGTTAGACCTGCTCCCTTCTACATCAAGCAGACCTGAGATTGTTTACGAGTTAGTATCAGGATTAGGGTGTGGCTTACCACACCCATAGGTTATAAATCTCCAACGCGCGGTCCGAGAATTCATTCCCTGAAGAAGTCCCCAGGTTGAGGACGAAACGTCGGGAAAACTTGCTAAGAAGTACAGATGATGGGTGAGAAACCTTCCTTTGCTTTGACTAATCCCTGTACGACTGAGGGCTTACACAAACTTATTTTTTTTTATATATATATTTATTTATTATACGGCTCCTCACAGCAGCAGTAGAATGCTCCATTGATTTGAATGTAATTTCAAAACGTTCTACCGGTCATTATTTTCCATTACGGACCTCTCAAAACAATAATGACCTGCGTAATATACGTTATCCCTTACATATATATTGCCGTTTCAAAAGTTAGGTACCCCATTTTTTATGATTATTATCGTTCAAACTCACGTCTCGTTGAAGGGCGGGAGTCCACTGGCAAAGCGAGGAGTGAAAGGTTTGCCTTCGTCGTCGTGGAAGAAAGCAAAAAGTCCTGCAGAAAAACCCTGGAACAAACAGAGTTTGGTGAAACCTCCTCTGACAGCGTTTGAAGCACATTTATTATTATGCGTTTCAAGGGATTTTTACTGTAGTAGTCGCAGTGAAGTTTAGCCACAGCTGCCCTGGGGCACACTGACAGAAGCAAGGCAACCAGTAAGGGCAATTGGCCTCTCTGATCACCACCAACCATTCACACACACAGCAGACTCATTCTAATGTGGGCTAAGTGTCTTGCCTAAGGACAGTTTGCCACAGTGGGGCGCTCTGGTTTTCCCAGAGGTCTCCCATCACAGTACTAACCAGGCCCTGCCCTACTGAGCTTGGGCATTAACCATGAACCTGAACCATCAACTGACCAGGGCATGGATGATCTCGTGTTTGACCGTGGAGAGCATTCCTTCAAACTCCTGCGGCTGAGAGGAGATCATGGCTGGACACAGGTTAGCGTAGCCGGCTATCGGTCTGGGGACAAGCGGAAACACAAAGTACATTTAAAAAGGCAGCTACTGAAAATCACTATTGACTTTTGAAAATGCACAAATACGTCATAAAACATTTTGTATGTGCATTAGTATGTGTGAAACTGTGAAACAGTGGGTGAAGAAAATCACATTACATGTGTCTCCCACACCGGCCCAGCTGTGTGTGTGTGTGTCTGTGTGTCTGTGTGTCTGTGTGTGTGTGTGTGTGTGTGTGTGTGTGTGTGTGTGTGTGTGTGTGTGTCTTTCTCACCGATCCAGCTGTGCCTCCAGCTGACAATAGGCAGCGTAGGCCACGATGTTCTCCTGCCCACAGCGCTCAGTGGTGATCCCGCTCACGTACAGAACAAAGTCAGAACCATCCACTCCAGGACCATCAGCAGGACCAGCTGGACCACATGACTTCCCCGACTCACTGCACACCTTACACTGCTGCAGAGATACACACACACAATTCAATTCAATTCGTATAGCATTCAATGTTGTATCGCCCTAAATCACAACAGTAGTTATCTCAGAGGACTTTACAAACCTTTGATTTGCCAACAACAGATCTAGAATCCAACAGTTCAAACACAGGAAATGTGTTTGAACCTAGCCCTTCATAAATTTTGATAAAATCCATAAATGTAGTGTCCTGGATCATAACCACTGTCCACAGGGTTTTTAGAGCCTCCTGCATCAGCAAGGAAAAGCTCTAAAAACCCAGTGGAAGAAAACGAGAAACCAACGGGAGGCCATACAACTGTATGGAACTGTAAAGTTAACGTTGCAATTATTGAATTATAGTGTGCGTGTGTTTGTGTGTGTGTGTGTGGGCGCGTGTGTGTTTGAGCTGCGGAAACTAAATACTAAATAATGTGCTGCTGCAGTTGAGTTTGTGTGAAAATCAAATGCCAGATGTTGAGTGATTACATTTGCCAAAAGTGTGTTATATGGTAAATATGAGAGACATTATTATTATTATTATCCTTGGTTTGAGAGCTAAGCTAAAGTTACGAGAGGGCTTTGAAAGCGTCGCTAGGCTCCATCAGATCAGCACAGCGCATGGAGACTGGGACACAGTTCGGAAATAGCACCAAATGGAGAGGTTTTAGTGTACTTTGTATTATTATCATGAGAAACAGAGAACAGAGAGAGTCAAGAGAAAGATACCAGAGAGAGACCAGTGAGAGAGACCAAAGAGAGACCAGAAAGAGAGACCAAAGAGAGAGACCAGAAAGAGAGACCAGAGACAGACACCAGAGAGAGAGACCAAAGAGAGACCAGAAAGAGAGACCAAAGAGAGAGACCAGAAAGAGAGACCAGAGACAGACACCAGAGGGAGAGACTAGAAAGAGAGACCAGAGAGAGAGAACAGAGAGAGATACCAGAAGGAGAGAACAGAGAGAGGCAAGAGAAAACAACTATGGTCAGAATAGGATGAATGATTTAATCAGAGAAAAACCTGATTAAATCCTTCATCCTACATCTGTCTCTGACCTGCAGGTGGTGCTGTGGTCAGTGCAGTGTGTGTCTATGACAAGCCCCGGAGATCCAAGATGGCGCCCTATTCAAATGAATGGCTTTTGCTCAGTAGCGCATGGGACATGACGGACACTGACATATTAGCGGAACTTGCCTATATTTGGGCATCGTCTGGTCCTCTCGGTTCTGCGCAGTGGACTAGCTCCCATGATGCTTTGCGCCAAATACGCGTGCACAGAGGGGCTTGGCCGCGCTTTGACCAATTAGCGATACTGATCAGAGCAGCGGTAGAGCGGAGCCAGAGCGGGAAGGAAACGAGCAGAGTTTGTGGCAGTAAAGTGTGGATTTAAAGAAAACTGAAGGATTTAAGAAGAAAAAAAGTTCAGGATGACAAGGGACACTAAAATCCCCACAAAATCCAACCTTTATGAAAGCTGTAGGTTCTCTGTCAGCTGTTTTAGTTTAGGCAAGGCAAGTTTATTTATATAGCACAATTCATACACAAGGCAATTCAAAGTGCTGAACAAAACAAGAAAGCATTAAAATCATAAATAATCCCAGTACATCAAAGAGAAAGATAAAAATATAAAATCCCTCAGTTGTATGCACAGCTAAACAGAACTGTTTTTAACCTGGTTTTAAACATTGTCAGCGAGGAGGCCTGTCTCACATCTTCAGGAAGACTGTTCCAGATTTTAGCAGCATGAATCTGAAAAGCAGCCTCCCCATGTTTAGTTCTGACTCTGGGCACTAACAGGAGTCCAGTCCCTGTGCTCCTCAGAGTCCGGGCTGGTTCATATGGGACTAACATGTCACTAATATATTTTGGTGCGAGGCCATGGAGAGACTTGTACAAAAGCAGAGCTGTTTTAAAGTCTATTCTCTGAGCCACAGGAAGCCAGTGCAGAGACCTGAGGACTGGACTAATGTGGTCGTACTTCCTGGTTGTAGTCAGGACTCAAGCTGCTGCATTTTGAAAGTACTGCAGCTGTTTTACAGCCTGTTTTACATTGAGATCTATGGGGAAAATTCCTGGGTAGCCCACATGAATTTAGTCTGCAGTACAGGTATTATTATAGATCCATGGTCTATAACCTGTATGTGGTGCTGTGGTCAGTGCAGTGTGTGTCTCTGACCTGCAGGTGGTGCTGTGGTCAGTGCAGTGTGTGTTTCTGACCTGCAGGTGGTGCTGTGGCACAGTGACCGGTCCACATTTGGTGACTTCAGCACAAGCGCCCTGACAGTAGCGGTGAGGATCATCTCTTTTCCGCAGGTACTGGTTTGTGAAACATTGCCTGCAAACACATACAACCAGTCACGCTTTATCTGTTAATGACTGAGGGCTAATTAAGTTCTAATTAGTGTATAATGTTTGGTTGGGTTTAAATTTGTTATTTATTGATCACTTATTAGTCCTTATTCTACATGGCCTTATTCAACATCTGACTAACACTTTCACATGTGGGCTAAGGTTAGAGTTAGAGTGAGCAGTTAATTAATGAGGGCTAATCAAAAGAAAGGGATGAAAATGTTTAAATGAAATGAAATAATCTAAAGTGTTACCAAATATACAATAATTTAATGTAGAGTAGGGAATCATTGAACCAAACAGCTGTTTTTCTTATTGTAGAAAGTATGGGATGTTAGGAAACATGTGACCTCAGATGTAATGTTCCTGAGACAGAAGAAATAACCTGCTGCTTGTCCGTCTAAGGTTTGAGTTGTTCACCTGCTGAGGAGCACAGGTCCCACTCTGTGTCTGACGCTGAAGACTTTCTGGAGGTAATCAATGGCCTCAGGAAACAGCTTCTCCTGAAAACAGGGAGCAACAGAAGATCAACTCTCAGAGCAGTCCATTCAACGGCTTTTAGTTTATGAAGTGTAATGACTCATCTCCTGTGCATTGTTGGTCTTCATAACTTTTTCTGTTTATATATGTGGTTTATTTCAATGTTATTATTCCTATTATTCCATCCATTTCCACTGCTCTGTCAGTGACAGCACAGCCTTAATCTTTCAGCAGGGGCTTCAGGCAAAGGGGAGTTAGGTGTCTTGTCCAAGGACACAACGACAACAGACAGGTCGGAGTCGGTGGAGAAGGTCTCGTGGTGATCTTCAGGCTCAAAGTCCTCTACCAACTGAGCCACTGTCACCCACTATTATTAACTTCTAGATTAAAATCACCTTAAAAGCTGCAGGTTTTTTTACTCAGTTGTTGCACAGCTAGAAATAACTGTTTTTAACCTGGATTTACACATTGTCAAAGAGAAGGCCTGTCTCACATTTTCAGAAAAACGGTTCCAGATTTTAGGTGCTTAAATCTGAAATGCTGAAATGTTTAGTTCTGACTCTGGGCACCAGCAGGAGGCCAATCCCTGTGCTCCTCAGAGTCGGAGTTTGTTCATATGGAACAAAATTACCCCTAAATCACAGCAGTAGTTATCTCGGAGGTCAAGCAGCTCTAGTCTTTATTACATGTTTCATCGGAAAATATTGTTTTACGACAATCTATAATTGTACAATGTAAAATCATTCAGCATATTTGTCAATTCTAAATGCTTTGGGGAGCTTCTGGGAAAGGGGTGAAAAGCCACAGGTTGGAGTCCCCTGATCAAAACATGTTTTCTTTTCAAAATCAAATGCAATGTTACAGTCCTCACCTTTAAATCATACGTCTTGGTTCAAATATATATAGTGGGGCAAAAAAGTATTTAGTCAGCCACCGATTGTGAAAGTTCTCCCACTTAAAATAATGACAGAGGTTTGTAATTATCATCATAGGTACACTTCAACTGTGAGAGACAGAAAAAGAAATCCAGGAATTCACATTGTAGAATTAAAAAAAAATTATTTGTAAATTATGGTGGAAAATAAGTATTTGGTCACTTCAAACAAGGAAGATCTCTGGCTCTCACAGACCTGTAACTTCTTCTTTAAGACGCTCTTCTGTCCTCCACTTGTTACCTGTATTAATGGCACCTGTTTGAACTCATTATCTGTATAAAAGATAGCCCAAATGTAGCCCAAATGTAACCCAAAATGATATTTCAACCACTGATAATCTCACTCGATCTGGGGCTCCACGCAAGATCTCATCCCGTGGGGTCAAAATGATCATGAGAATGGTGAATGACCTGCAGAGAGCTGGGACCAAAGTAACAAAGGTTACCATCAGTAACACACTACGACGACAGGGAATCAAATCCTGCAGTGCCAGACGTGTCCCCCTGCTGAAGCCAGTGCATGTCCAGGCCCGTCTGAAGTTTGCCAGAGAGCACATGGATGATACAGCAGAGGATTGGGAGAATGTCATGTGGTCAGATGAAACCAAAGTAGAACTGTTTGGTATAAACTCAACTCGTCGTGTTTGGAGGAAGAAGAATACTGAGTTGCATCCCAAGAACACCATACCTACTGTGAAGCATGGGGGTGGAAACGTCATGCTTTGGGGCTGTTTTTCAAGACGACAGATCCGTGTTAAGGAAAGAATGAATGGGGCCATGTATCGTGAGATTTTGAGCCAAAACCTCCTTCCATTGACTTGAATTTCTGTTATTGACCAAATACTTATTTTCCACCATAATTTACAAATAAATTCTTTAAAAATCCTACAATGTGAATTCCTGGATTTTCTTTTCACATTATTTTTCTCACAGTTGAAGTGAACCTATGATGAAAATTACAGACCTCTGTCATTATTTTAAGTGGGAGAACTTGCACAATCAGTGGCTGACTAAATACTTTTTTGCCCCACTGTTTGTTTTGTGGTCTATTGTGCTTATAGCCAACAGAACACACATGTACCAGTCAGGTTTATGTAGATGCAAGCCCACACTGTTAGGAAATGTGATTTGTACATTTCAGTGCCATAAACACAGTTAAAGTGGCATTTAAAGAGATAAAACCTGGCATCATAAGTGTGTTATTGTGCACTCACTTTGACCAGCCGCCTTTGATTGGCAGGAAGCCTGGACGCAGGAGAAAACATTATGATAACATATGAATAATGTAAACAAACAGTAAAAAGGTCGGACTGAGACTCACTGGTCGACGCTGAAGTCGTAAATGATCTTTATTCTCAGCTGTAGATTGTCCTCGGAGCTTCTCTTTGTCAAACGCTCGTGCGGAAGGTAGACGTGGTTTACCTGGAAAACATTCAAACAAGCCTCAATATACAATCATATAACAAAAGTGCACTACAGTCATTTATTTTATCTATAAACTTATAAACAAGAATTAATTATGGAAATAACAGAACTTACATATGATGCATGATAGAAACATACAAACGTACATTCATTGTTGGAACTATTGGGCTATTTTTAGATTGTCATTATGAGAATCTACTTTAGTTGCCAGGTTATTTGTTTAAGATAATTTTGCGTGAATTATTGCTTATTTAATTTAATATAGAGCTGTGCATAGAGGCGTTTTGAGTGGCCGTTTGATTTGATTAGGTTTAAGTTATGGACAAAGCGTACTTTTTTCACTCCAGTCAAAGTTCCAAAGGGTTAGGGAAGAAGTCAAACGTATTTCATCCACCTAAATACGGTTTTACACACACACACACACACACACACACACACACACACACACACACACACACACACACTTTTTACATTGTTTTACTACACTGATGTTATTTTATCCATTGTTGCATGAGAAGAATTTTGTTGCAAATTAAGCTTATATTATTATTTTCTAGATTCAAATTCATTTTAAAGCTGTGGTACATGCAACTTTCAAACCTTTGTCGACAAAGGATGTCACTTGTCTGAAGAGAGGACCACACTCACTGAGCTCTAAGCCCAAAGAGTCAAATAGTGACTCACAGGGCTCTTTCGTAAAGTATGAAAAATGTATTTATAAAGATGCATACTCTATAAGGACAAACCGAGTTTGTCATTTATGGGAAAGAACATTGGTTCAGCTGTAAATTTAACAGTTTATCTAAAATATTTGAAGCATAATAATGTTTTGTCTTTTTTAGGACATCCTTGGACTACTGTCGAAAACTTGGTTTAAAGTTAAAACTGGCATTGATGACGTCATTGATGGACATTGTTCTTGCTTAAATAAAATTAAACATTCATAAAAATGAAACATAAATGATTAGTTTTTTATGTAATATTTTACCTTTTGTAAGTGAATTTAAAAGTGTGAGAAAGAATATTGATGGATGAGTTGATTATACTTTTTAATAACCTACATTACAATTATATAAACGTAACAGAATCACATCTAAATGAATCCGTCCTTTACAGTCAAACCCAGGCAGATGTAATCCAAATAATTCTTAGTTTATAATTAATAAACAGTTATTTCATCTGTTGTTAGCTTCTATGCTAACAAGAAAATATACCATAGTTGCCCAAAATAATGTTTTAACAATAAGTTGAAAATGACATTATTATTAATTTTCAAAATGAATAAAATGCTTTACATATATGTGAGTGACATCTATTGACAACATTGCATAGTACAATAGTTTATAAAGCGTTTATAAAGAAGGACCGATGTTAGCATGCTAGTTAGCTTAGCCCGCTAGCTGTCAAGGGCCATAGCTGAACTAAAATCTTATTATGTTCTTATAATAAACTTTAAAAAGGATGACAGCTGCTTACTTCATCTGGTCTGGGGACCTTGTGGTTACAGGTGCCGTGGGAGCTCACAAAAACACCCAGGGAGGAGAGAACCAGGGCCGAAGCGAGGATCCAGGACACCGGCTTTCCATCCGCGCTAAGCCGCAGATCCATCGTCCAAACCCGGGCAGGTCACTCCCAGTCAGCTGCTCCCTCTCCGCCGGCCCGGGCCTCTGCGTGCGCGGCCCATACATCGCTTTGTCCGGGGGGCTCAGGGAGACATGACCGCCTCTCACAGTGGCGGTGGAGCGGCAGAAGCGGACGGAGGATGGGTGTGAATGGTGCCGGGTGTGAGGCGAGTGGAGGCGGGTAGTGAAGATGCAGATCCCTGCTGGATGTCACGGGTATGGCAGCTGCACTGGGTCAAACTGAAGCACACTGTGTAAGCTCATCCCTTCAGCTGTCAGCAAAATGTATATTACACTTGGGCAGAGGTCTTATGACAGACGTTTATTACTATACGTGTATTGCTTTACTCAAGGCATCTCAAAGTGCTGAACAAAGCAAGATAGACACAATCACAACAGTCATTAAAATATAAATAATCAGAAAAAAAATAATGAAGGTAAAATCCCTCAGCTGTATGCACAGCTAGATAGAACTGACCTGAATTTCAACATTGTCAGAAAAGAAGCCTGTCACACATTTTTGGGAAGACTGTTCCACATTTCAGCAGCATGAATATGAAATGCTGCCTCCCCATGTTTAGTCCTGATTCTGGGCACCAGCAGGAGGCCAGTCCCTGTGCTCCTCAGACTCCCAACATGAGGCCAGTCCCTGTGCTCCTCAGACTCCCAGCGGGAAGCCAGTCCCTGTGCTCCTCAGAATCCCGGCAGGAGGTCAGTCCCTGTGCTCCTCAGAGTCCCAACATGAGGCCAGTCCCTGTGCTCCTCAGATTCCTAGCAGGAGCCCAGGCCCTGTGCTCCTCAGAGTTGGTTCATATGACACTAACATGTACTTTGGTGCATGGCCTTGGAGAGACCTGAGACCAGGACTAATGTGAGAGGACTTCAGGACAGAGACCTGAGACCAGGACTAATGTGAGAGGACTTCAGGACAGGGACCTGAGACCAGGACTAATGTGAGAGGACTTCAGGACAGGGACCTGAGACCAGGACTAATGTGAGAGGACTTCAGGACAGAGACCTGAGACCAGGACTAATGTGAGAGAACTTCAGGACAGAGACCTGAGACCAGGACTAATGTGAGTGGACTTCAGGACAGAGACCTGAGACCAGGACTAATGTGAGAGGACTTCAGGACAGAGACCTGAGACCAGGACTAATGTGAGAGGACTTCAGGACAGGGACCTGAGACCAGGACTAATGTGAGAGGACTTCAGGACAGAGACCTGAGACCAGGACTAATGTGATGGACAGTCTATAGATGGTACGTTCTAGTCAGGACTGGAGCTGCAGTGTTTTGAATATGCAGCAGTTTTACAGCAATAAAGCCACAGATTTTGAAGATCATGACGACATTTACAGAAACAGGAGCAGTGGAAAGCTCATGGGTCCAAGCCTGTGTAGCCCTTCTGGCCCTTCTGTATCTGGGTGGGTTTCCTACAGGTGCTCCGGTTTCGCCCATCCTAATCCCCCAGCTCTGGTCCTCGTCCTTCCGCGCTGTAGAGACCACAGCTCCTGGCAGAGGGTTCCTATTTAGCTTCAACTGACTTTAAACATTGAATCGACCAGCTGAAGAATAACCGCCTGGAAGCTAGGACACAACGCACTTCTGTGTCCAACATATGGACAGTGAACCGTGGCTTGTCGTTATATCACGTTATGATGGACTTCCAAAAACGTATTCACCCAATGTCAAATTCTGAATAGTATTTATTACACATTAAAAATCATAAATACAAAATGCTCCACTGGCTATCCTCAGTATGAACACTGCAAAAAGTGAGGAAAAAGTCAGAAATGACTCAAATTTGGCAAAAATGTATCGAAATTTGAGCACATTCTGACTGCTTTAAAACTAGATTTGTCGTTGGGATAAATCAGAATGATCTTGTTTTAAAAAGATACAGTTCTGGAAATACAAATAAATGGCTTGGTGTGTTTTAAGACAGTCAGAATGAATTAGATTTTACCTCATATTTAATCATTTTTTGCAGTGAAAGAATAATATCAATCACAGTGGATACAATAGAAAACCACAATAAAATAACAGAGACCAGCTCCTACAAAATAAAAGCACATTAAAAAGTGGGAGTCTGTCTCCGCCTGCAGAGGAGGGGTCAGTGCTGATGAGCTCTTTGTCTCATGAAGCAACAACAACAACTGGAAACGATTTGGTTTAACACAAAAACTCCCAGAGCAGTCAAAATGACGGTTTAAGTCTCAGAGGCGTACTTACTCAGAATCTGTAACTTTTTGGTCGTCACTAACTTTTCTGTTTGTCTAGTAGTTTATTTCGGTCATTTCCTTAGTTTAAATATGTCATTATTTGTATTTATTATTGAAACATGAGTAGTTCTATATTTGGAGAGTGAGTGCTGGTTACTATAGCAACATGCCATTGCCATTGCCTTTAGCATTAGCCTTTTAGCATTTAGGAAAAAAAGTGGTGGTAAAGAAAATGTATAAATCAATTACTTTTGACAAATTTGTGGAAAAACTGAATATTTTCAGAATCCCATTGGTTTGAATGTAAGCAGTCAAAATGACGGCTCTGGGAGTTCTAGTCCTAGTGTTAAAGAACATACAATGATAACTCTTTGATGGATTGAATTGGATGGAAAGGTCATTTGTATTTGTATTGTATCATTTATTTATATCAGAAAGTTTTTATATTTGGTAAAAACCTACCTTTGTCCCTTCTGTCTGAATGTTCTGTTTTTTAAACTTATTTCACCAACACAAATCCTCAGACTGTGACTGTCATGGACAAAGCTGTGTACCACTTTATATTGTTTAAAGCTAGGGTCCCTGGCTTTTTAATTGACCACATAATCTATGTTGTTTGATGAGCCTTTGGAAATGATCCACGCTAACTCCTCATCTGGGTGATGCTTATTCCAAAGGGAGGGGCTGTTTTAAATATAGTTTTTTTTCATATAGATGATACTACAGGGTCACAGAGTCAGAAATATGTATTCTTTCAACAAAAAAATACTATTGAAGTTGCAGACATCAGCTTTAAAGTCCAGTTCTTTCTTACACAACAGAAGCAACAAGCAGAGGCAGCTGTGGATCAGTCTGTCCCTCTGCTCTGGGGGGTCGAGGGTCCGAATCTGTGGAGGTTTCCTGGACATGCTCTGGCTCAGTGGGAAGTGCGGATCCCTCTGGGACCTGCTGCTGGTCCGAGTCCATGTCCTGATCCAGGTCCGGGTCCTGGTCCTGGTCCACCCTCTCGCTCTCCTCCTCGTGTCGAATGGTGTTGAATCGTTCCACAACGCAGTGAGCCGTGAGCCGAGCTTCAGGGTCGTGATCCCAGCACTCAGCGATGGTGGCGCAGAACACATTCATTCCCTGAAAGAAACATGCTACAAGTTATAACCGGAAAAGGCAAGTTTATCTGTATAGCACAGTTCATACACAAGGCCACTCAATGTGCTGAACAAAAATATTGAAACTTTCACACAAGGCATTCAAATTATAAACAATCACAATACGTTAAAAAGATTAAAGATAAAATCCCTCAGTTGTAGCACAGCGAAACAGAACTGTTTTTAACCTGGTTTTAAACTTTGTTAGAGATGAAGCCTGTCTCACATTTTCATGAAGACAACTCATATTGGTTCATTTGGAACTAACATGTCACTTTAGTGCGAGGTCATGGAGAGAAAGAGCAGTGAGAGACCTGAGACTAATGTGAGGGGACTACAGGACAGAGACCTGAGAGCAGGACTAGAAATGCTAGAGACTAAAGACTAGTGTCTGACCTGGTGCTGGGTCCAGGCTGGGGGGATGTCCGGTCGGCCTCTGTCCCTGAGGACCAGGTCCCTCATGCTGTCCACACACGGCTGGTCACACACCTGGGACCCGAAGGCCGGTTCGTAGCTCTTCACTTCTGCAACACATGGAAACAGACATGATTTATGGACTTAAAACACATGAGACCTCTTCTTCTCCAGTACAGGACTACTGAGAGACCAGAACCACTGAGAGACTAGAACCACTGAGAGACCAGAACCAGTGAGTGACCAGAACCACTGAGAGACTAGAACCAGTGGTTCTGGTCACTCACTGGTTCTAGTCTCTCAGAACCACTGAGAGACTAGAACCAGTGAGTGACCAGAGCCACTGAGAGATCAGAACCACTGAGAGACCAGAACCACTGAGAGACTAGAACCACTGAGTGACCAGAACCACTGAGAGACTAGAACTACTGAGAGACCAGAACCACTGAGAGACTAGAACCACTGAGAGGCCAGAGCCACTGAGAGATCAGAACCACTGAGAGACCAGAACCACTGAGTGACCAGAACCACTGAGAGACCAGGACCAGTGAGTGACCAGGACCAGTAAGTGACTAGGACCAGTGAGTGACCAGGAACACTGAGAGACCGGAACCATTGAGAGACCAGAACCAGTGAGAGACCAGGACCAGTGAGAGACGATAACCAGTGAGAGACCAGAACCACTGAGAGACCAGAACCTGTGAGTGACCAGAACCAGTGAGTGACCAGGACCAGTGAGTGACCACTGACCAGGACCACTGAGACCCCAGAACCACTGAGAGACCAGAACCAGTGAGTGACCAGAACCAGTGAGTGACCAGAACCAGTGAGTGACCAGGACCAGTGACAGACCAGGACCACTGAGAGGAACGTGGAGTAAGCTACAATTAAAACAATGTTAACATCTCCTGTGTCACACTTTATTTTAGACAAAACTCATGTATACTTTTAAAATCTAAAATAAATGTACATAAATATAAAGTAAAGAAGCAGTGATTCAGAGAAAATTCAAGTCTATAAAACATATTTCCGCTGTCTGAAAGCGTGTTGAGCAATGTTCTGCTTTAAAATATATCATCTGTATATAATCTATAATCTATCTTTATGGAAAACAGAGACCTCTAGGTACGCACCCTGACCCTAACTGCTAATTTACACATAAGGCGTTACAGCACGTACGCGTTATACGCGCAGCAGACGCGCGTTACTTTTTTCCATGTTAACCTATGATGATATTTACACTTCTAGCGTTATACGCGCGTATGACGGACGTATGACGCGAAGCTGCGCTCTAATTTAAGATGGATTTCTAATTTTGTGCGCGCACCAACGCGTCTCCCATTGAAATCTCATGTAAAACATGATTTTTCTAGCGGTCCTTGGCTCTAGATCACATCTGCACACACACAGCAGGTTTTACAGTGATTCTGGACATCGTTTTTTTTTCTTTCATAAAGTCTCGCGTCTGGCCAAACCAGCGCACAGAGACCATGAGGACAAACACATGCATGTGATTTGTGTTGCTCTACATCAGTCCTCTGGCCCGTACTGTCCTCTACACTGCTCCATAGACTACACAGGGAGAGCATCAGAGCAGTGGTCAGTGCTCTTTGTACAGTCTGACAGTGAGAGCAGTGGTCAGTGCTCTTTGTACAGTCTGACAGTGAGAGCAGTGGTCAGTGCTCGTTGTACAGTCTGACAGTGAGAGCAGTGGTCAGTTCTCATTGTACAGTCTGACAGTGAGAGCAGTGGTCAGTTCTTATTGTACAGTCTGACAGTGAGAGCAGTGGTCAGTTCTTATTGTACAGTCTGACAGTGAGAGCAGTGGTCAGTTCTTATTGTACAGTCTGACAGTGAGAGCAGTGGTCAGTGCTCGTTGTACAGTCTGACAGTGAGAGCAGTGGTCAGTTCTCATTGTACAGTCTGACAGTGAGAGCAGTGGTCAGTTCTTATTGTACAGTCTGACAGTCAGAGCAGTGGTCAGTTCTCATTGTACAGTCTGACAGTGAGAGTAGTGGTCAGTGCTCGTTGTACAGCCTGACAGTGAGAGCCTTGGTCAATCCTCGTTGTACAGTCTGACAGTGAGAACAGTGGTCTTTACTCATTCTACAGTCTGACAGTGGTACCTCCGATGGCCCGACAGCGTGAGCTCATCTCCCACAGAACCAGAGCCATGGAGTAAACGTCGATCTGTTTGAAGGCCTCCAGGTCCTCCAGGTTCACTCTGGACTCCAGGACCTCAGGAGCCATGTACCGCGCTGTGCCCACCTGCAACAACATTATTATTATTCTTATTTAGAGACAAGAGAGAGACCAGAGAGAGACCAGAGTGAGAGACCAGAGAGAGTCCAGAGAGAGACCAGAGAAAGACAAGAGAGAGACCAGAGAAAGACCAGAGAGAGACCAGAGAGAGAGAGAGTCCAACGAGAGACCAGAGAGAGACCAGAGAGAGACCAGAGAGAGACCAGAGTGAGAGACCAGAGAGAGACCAGAGAGAGACCAGAGAGAGACCAGAGTGAGAGACCAGAGAGAGTCCAGAGAGAGACCAGAGAAAGACCAGAGAGAGACCAGAGAGAGACCAGAGAGAGACCAGAGTGAGAGACCAGAGTGAGAGACCAGAGAGAGTCCAGAGAGAGACCAGAGAAAGACCAGAGAGAGACCAGAGAGAGACCAGAGAAAGACCAGAGAGAGACTAGAGTGAGAGACCAGAGAGAGAGAGTCCAACGAGAGACCAGAGAGAGACCAGAGAGAGACCAGAGAGACCAGAGAGAGACAAGAGAGAGACCAGAGAGAGACCAGAGAAAGACCAGAGAGAGAGACCAGAGAGAGACCAAGGAGAGACCAGAGAGAGACCAGAGCGACGAGAGAGACCAGAGAGACCAAAGAGAAACCAGAGAGAGAGACCAGAGAGAGACCAGAAAGTCAAGAGGGAGAGAGTGAGATCAGAGAGACCAGAGAGAGACCTGAGAGAGACCAGAGAGAGAGAACAGAGAGAGACCAAAGACACACCAGAGAGAAACCACAGTAGTCCCCTGAACTAATCAACGCAGTGCATACAAACCTCAACAGTTTTCTTCTGGCTTTAAATAAAGGTAACTGTGATACAAGTGTTGTGTGTGTTTTTTGTGCACCTGTGTGTGTGTATGTGTGTTGTGCACTTTTGCACCTGTGTGTGTATGTGTGTTGTGTACCTGTCCACTGTTTGCATAGTCATCCACAGTGAGAGACATGTCCAGCCTCAGAGCTAACCCAAAGTCACACAGAGCACAGTCCTGTCTGCTCCTCACCACAATGTTACTGCTCTTTAGGTCTCTGTGGGCGATGGGCACCTGCAACACACACACATGCACACACACACACACACACAAACACACACACACACACAGAAATAGGATTGGCCTGATATGTTCACACGTGTTAACCCTAACCCACGTTCTAATGTTTACTTACAGGTGGAAATTAGCATCTCTGCTATAACCTGGTACAAGCATCTCTCCTTTTGTGTTAATGCTTAACTGTACACTGTCCCTGTTCAAATAAAGTACATACAATACAATACAATACTTATTTATTTACAATAATTAATGTATTCAATTTTTCCCCCTTTATTTACTATCTTGGTTTCCTCTATATAGGCATAAGGACAGTTAACTGGATTCAGTAAAAACCTGACAACATATTCTGTTTGATGATAAAGAATATTGTATCTGTCATAATGTTTTGTTTTTTCTAAATAAAACTTCGGAATCATTTAAAGGCCTCATGACTCGACTTGTTTTCCAGTGTAGCAAAATGCTCCTAGCTTTAAGTTAAAGTTTATGCTTTATTTATCCCCAGTGAATGCTTTAGAACCAGGTGTTAGTCGAAGACATCGTGTACCTTGGGGACTCCTGTTGAACCAGGTGTTAGTCTGAGATTGTGTACCTTGGGGACTCCTGTGGGTGTGACATCACTGTGCAGATGAGCCAGTCCTTTGGCCACACAGTCGGCCAGTGCCACCAGCTCCTCCCAGCTCAGCGTACTCTCTGTCAGAAACTCCTGCAGGTTTCCCAGACTGTGATAGGCCAGAACCAGCCAGTACTTCCTGTTGGTGTGTCCAGGGCCGCCTCTCTCCTCCGCAGCCAGGAAAGTCACTATATTCTCGTGCTGAAGCTTTGGATCGGAGTAAATCGAACTCTCGTTCCTCCAGGAAGCGTACTCCACGGCGGGGAACACCTTCACCGCCACCGTCTCCTGAGAAGTCACTCCGTCACTTTGAACCAATCGACCTTTCCAGACCTCTGCGAAGCGCCCCTTCCCCACCAAAGTCTCCAGTTTAATCGGCAGCGGTGTGGTGAGTGTTCCTGGCCACGCCATCAAGTCGCCAGTGTGGAAACCTGGTGTTTTAGCGTTGGAGCCGTCAATGTGTTGGAACGACGCCGTGACGCTGTCTCTGCATTGGGCCTGTGGGTCCAGGGCCTGGTACAGCTCCTGGGAGGGTTTCCCAGGCCACTCAGGACGTGCTGGGGGGCCGGGTTTCCCGTAGTGACGAGTGCGGTAGAAGTAGAAGGCGATAGAAGCCACCAGAGCCACCAGCAGAGGAGGGACCAGGCTGACCAAGACCACCGGGATCACCTCTTTACTCTGCAGCTTAGAGAAACCTGGGAATGACAGATACATGTGAAGCAATTAGTTTGATAATTAATAGGTTTTAACCATTTGTTTTATTGTATTTATTGATTATATGTGTACAGATATATGGACATGCAATTTGGGTACAATTACCACAGTTACTATAATGTCGCTGTTGTGTGTTCCATGACATCCAGGTCAAATATGGAGATTATTATTTGATGCTCATTTGTCATGAGAACAAATTACATCTGTATTTGACTGTAGAGAATGGATAATGTATACGATTTTATGTAGAAAATACATTTCAGAAGTGCAGTGCAGTCCAGGGTGAAGGGTAAAAACGTCTATTCCGCCTGTGTTTCCCTGTGCTGCCAGCAGGGGAAAAGTGAAGTTGGTTTAGTTTTATTTCTAAATTTGGAAATGGCTTCCAATTGCAAAGAACATAATTTCACCAGAAAAGATTCGAAACAAATTTATGGTAGTGATGTGCTGAGCGGGCCGAGTCTTCGAAGCGTGGACCGAGTAATCTGGGGGCGTTTCTTTTGAAGTGTGGGTCGAGGCGTGTATTGGTCACGTGTGTGATGACGTTCAAAGCCTCGCAAATGGCCGTACCACGTGACTGATTCAGGAAATGATTCGTTGGTTTGGAGCGCGATTCGAAATAAAAGGGACGAGTGAACGCAATGGATTCCCCTTCATCACTTTGTGTGTTTTTGGGTTATTGCGCTTCTCATTTGGCATCCTATTTGGCATCCTATTTGGCATCCTATTTGAGCTTCTTTTTTGCGATGGAACCGGCAAGAAAGAGAAGATTTTCTCCAGTTTGGGAGCACTTTGAGCAGATCTCACCTAATAAGGTAAGGCATATCAATAATTCTGTAATAATAGATTACACAAATATGACAACACATAATTTCTCTTGCTCACTTTTCTCTGTTATAAATACGTTTGAATAATAGTTTTTTCAATTGCAGGTGAAGTGACTGTTATGCTCCAAACAACTGGGTTATAATAATAACACCTCAGCTATGCTAAGGCACTATCGTGCCTTGCATAGCAATGTGGATTCCAACCCAGGTGAACCTGTCTCGGGTAGGCCATTTTATATCATGATAATAATTGATGATTGTCCTACAATTACACTAAATATATTTTATTTGAATGCATTTGTTCATTAGATAAATTTCTAACCCTAATGTGCATTTTCTTTCAGCTGACTTGACTGAGGCATTGGTGGATATGGTGATTGAGGATTCCCAGCCCTTTTCCATTGTGGAGGGAACTGGCTTCCGAAAGCTTGTGAAAGCTTTGGCACCATCTTATGGGTCTCTCCGTGCTTAAACTTATTCAAGAGGTGGATACAAGATGGAACAGCACGTACTTAATGCTTCAGCGTCTGTTCAACCTGAGAGAGCCTGTTGGAGCAGCTTTGGCTGGGCTCCGTACAGACATTACACAAATCTCAGCAGAACAATATAACATCATTGCAGACTGTCTGAAGGTGCTCGCTCCATTCTACTATGCCACAATTGAGGTGTCCGAGGAGAAAAGAGTCTCTGGGTCAAAAGTAGTTCCACTTTTGACCATTCTCCATAATGCTCTGGAAGAAGAGGAGATCGGCCATATCCAAACACCTGAGAGCAGAGACATGGCTGAGTATTTGCGAAGACAATTGAGGGACAAGCTCAGCCACCTCCAATCAATGAGCATCATGTCCCTCTTTACCTTGCTTGATCCCAGATTTAAAAAGATTGGATTCTTCAACCCCAATAAGGCAGCAGAAGCTGATAAAAGATTGATTGGCGAATGTGCTCGAGTTTTGAGACTTTCATTGTCCGCTTCTGCTTCATCATCATCATCACCATCATCATCATCATCTGTAGCTGAAGGTAATATGTATACTCTATTTGTGCTAATAAGTCACTCATAACCTGTTTATTCTGTTTTAGGGAGCAAACTGTGGCAACGTTTTGACACGACATGCCAGCAGACCAAAATCCCAAACATAACTGCCAACGCTACAGTGGAGGTCCAAACATACCTGGGGGAGCCAAATATTCCTCGACTCGAAAGTCCCCTTCAATATTGGGCCAAACATAAGTTTACATTTCCAAATTTATATAAACTTGCCATTACATATTTATGTTCACCTGCATCCTCTGTGCCCTGTGAACGGGTTTTTTCAAAGGCAGGTGAAATACTGTGCAAAAAAAGAAATCGCCTGAGTCCAAATACTCTTGAAAAATTATTATTTTTGAATAAAAATGAATAACTGTATTGTTTGTTTCTCAACTCCTGTCAATAGTTGCATAAGCACTTACATAAACAAAGTAACACAAGCACATTTTACATTACAACTGTCTCCACATCATTGTCTGTATTCTTTCAGCCCATGTTCAGACCCTACCATTTGTTATAGGTCCTTGGCATGTATTACATTTCTTTGTCCACATGATGGCGTAGTGGAGCATGATTCACCTCGAGCCTTCGACTCATGGGCCGAGTAATAGGCTGCAAACCCTCAAGGCTTCATGGGGCTTCATATTGCCATCACTAATTTATGGGCAATACTTTTGTTTTTAAAAAGTGTGATGTCATAGATGTACAAGGACATCATACTATTACAGGACTATTTAGCTTTTTGTCTAGAAAAAATATAAACTGATATCAAACACATGTTCAGTAAAAGTAAGGATGATTGTAATGATTATAAAAAGTCACAACGTTAAAACTTTAAACAAACGCTTGAATTTTGGTTTTCCTGTCCCTAGCCATCCGTAAACTCTGGACAATTATCATTTCCCTGCATGTACCGTCTGGGTCGCGTTCCTCTGTCTGCAATTACATCGGTTCCCATCCAACCAATCAGTGAGCGCGGGAGGCGGGTGTTGCCGGTAGATGTGGGTGACGTCAAAAGTTTGCGCCAAATTTGCTGGTTGTAGTTTGGCAATGTCGAAGAATGCAATTGAAAAGTAATCCGTTTTGTTTATATCATGAAATTGAAGCCGGAGCAAGAGGAATGTTTAGCAAATGTCATTGCTGGAAAAGATCGTGGTGCTACTCCCCACCATTGATCTAGCATAATATATGGATAGTGTATTACTAGCTTGGAGCTGAAAGACCCAAGTGTGCGGAGGATTCTCGCGGTCCTGCAGACAAACCCAGACTACATTTACGTGGGCTATACAGCAATTTTGCTCATAGAACTCAATGTAAACTAAAACAGCTCGACCTCAGGTGACAGAGAACCTACAGCTTTCATAAAGGTCGGATTTTGTGGGGATTTTAGTGTCCCTTAAATCCTTCGCTTTACTTTAATCCACACTGTAGTGCCACAAACTCTGCTCGTTTGGCATCCACTCTAACTCCCGCTCTAGCTCTGCTCTGATCAGCAGCTCTGATTGGTCAGAGCGCGGCCGGGCCCCACTGTGCTTCTGCGTGAGTGCCATACATGAGTATTTGGCACAAAGCATCATGGGAGCTCGTGCACGCCGCAGAACCTGGAGGACTAGAAGATGCCCAAATACAGTAACCCCCTTGAACCTTTCAACATTTCGCCACATTTCAGGCTTCAAACATAAAGATTTCATTTCATTTCATTTCATTGTCATGAATCAACAACAAGTGGGACACAATCGTGAAGTGGAACGTAATGTATTGGATAATTTAACCTTTTTTAACAAATAAAAAACTGAAAAGTGGGGCGTGCAATATTATTCGGCCCCTTTACTTTCAGTGCAGCAAACTCAGTCCAGAAGTTCAGTGAGGATCTTTGAATGATCCAATGTTGTCCTAAATGACTGATGATGATAAATAGAATGCACCTGTGTGTAATCAAGTCTCTGTATAAATGCACCTGCTCTTTGATAGTCTCAGGGTTCTGTTTAAAGCGCAGAGAGAACCATGAAGACAAAGGAACACACCAGGCAGGTCCGAGATACTGTTGTGGAGAAGTTTAAAGCCGGATTTGGATACAAAAAGATTTCCCAAGCTTTAAACATCTCAAGGAGCACTGTGCAAGCCAGACCACTGCAAATCTACCAAGACCCGGCCGTCCCTCCAAACTTTCATCTCAAACAAGGAGAAGACTGATCAGAGATGCAGACAAGAGGCCCATGATCACTGCGGTTTTTTTAAATAATCTTTTATGGATCCTTTTTGTATATATTTTATATATTTTATCCCCTTTTTATCCAGTTTCCCTTTTAATTATCACACCCCCTCAACAGACTATTTTAACCTGTGACACACCCACAAAGACACACACACACACAAACACATGACAAGCTTCACTCAGTCTCCACCTCATGCAGCCCCCACATACACTGAGTTTGAGACTCCTGATCTACACCAACAAGAAACAATTCCTTTGGTTTCGGGGTCCAGTCTAAAGGGATAACTGGTCTCTGTGTAATGGTCTCTGTGATGGTACCATGTGCACCCTTGTCGAAGAGGAGGCGGTCGTTGCATTCGTGCTCCCCTCTGCAGCCGCACACCATCACAGCGCCCTCTGGTGTTGGTTGTGGGACCATGTGACACTCTCTGGAGCTCACGTTCAGCAGCACAGCCTGGTCCACGCCCTCTAGAGGCAGAGCGGGGTGGTGACACATGGTCTGCACCGTCATGCTCTCGTTGAACTTCCTCCTGTGCACACACACACACACACAAACACACTTTTATACAAGGTTTTGAGGATTTTAAAGCTCGGGGACCCAACTTTCCAACCACAAATATAACAGCATCCATCTCGCTTGCACTAATCTGCGCTAGTATCCACATGCGTCACATGTTTCTGTGGCCGTCACATCTTTATATCAGATTTTTCAGACAGAAAACTGAAAACCACTGACTCACAAGGCTCTTTCTAACGAATATTATTTAGGAAACAAAGTTTCAGCTTCAGTCAGAATGAAGTTGTGTTTGGTGTAAATGGTGTTCGCGGTGTACAGAGAAATGGAGGAGGAGATTTGTGTTTATTCTGCAGTAAAACCATCAGTGTGAAATAAAACATGTCTCTGTTCTTGTCACAGTCTGACACAGAGACTCTGAGACCTTCTCTTCTCTGTCCGAGAAGAATGTGTAAAACAGTGGTTTTCTGGTGAACGTGGCTGAACTTTGGCCTAAATTAAAGCAGGGGTTGGTTCTGGCTCAGCTGTCTCTTATCACCGCGGCCTCAGAGGCTCTGATCCACAGGAAATGAGACGGGGACTCCCCACACACCCACCGCCACAGAGCAGGAGGAGCAGGAACCAGAGAGAACAGGAGCAACCAGAGAGCGGTGAGAGAAACCTAGAGACCCAAGGAGGACAAGGAGGAGTGTGGATCACCTCTGTCCTTAGAACCTCCTGCAACAACTCTAAAAACCCAGTGGATGAAAATGAGAAACCTGGGGGAGGCTCGTCCCTGAGGACTTAACAAATTAGTCAATTTCCCAACAACAGATTAGAGAATCAAACAGTTGGAACACAGGAAATAATAGCAAACACAAACACTGTTTGTTCCATAAATATACTGGAGGATCACTGTCCTTGGGCCCTTCGGCATTGCCCAAAAAATACTCCAAAACCAAAACTCCAAAACTAATACTCACTGGGTATAGAGTCATCATGTTGTAAGTTAGCTTCACACAGACGTGTTGCTAAGGAGATCAACTTCCTCACGCTCCTTCCTCCCGTCAAGCTCATGTTGACCCTCCCCCTCAGAGCTGGTCATCCTTCAAAACAGTCACTCAAGTGCTGATAAAGAACTGCAATATCCTTTTGCGCAACATCTCCAAGCTCAGACATATAGTCTCAAAGTAGGAGCTGGAGAGGATTGTCCACGCTTTTGTTTCCTCAGAATTGGACTATTGTAACAGCCTGCCTACATGTCTTACTAAAAAAGATCTGGCTCGTTAATTAGTTCAATATGCTGCCGCGAGGCTTTAGACCCTCACTCATAAGAGGGTCCACATTACTCCTATCTTGAAGTCCTTACACAGGCTCACTGTCACACAGAGAATACATTTTAAAACTCTGGTGCTGACTTTCAGGGCTCTTCATGGTCAGGTGCCTAAATACATCCAGGGCCTGATCCAGCCTTATGTCTCCAACAGGAGCCTGAGGTCCTCAGAACCTGATGATGGTCCCTTGCACTCGTTTCAAAACCAGAGGAGACCAATCCTTCCGGGCTGTTGCTCCTCGCCTTTTGAATGAGCTTCCACAGTTTCTGCGCATGTTAGAGTCAGTGTACAACTTCAATTTGCAACTAAAGACCTGTTTGCTTAGGCAGGCTTTCTCGCCTCACTGAACATAAGCCTGTCTGAACTGCGTTCATGATTCTGTTAACTTGTTTTTAGAAATGACTTGTATGTGTACTATCTTTACTGTATATTTTTAATTGTGAAGCACTTTTTGATCCTGATCTGTGAAAGGCACAATATAAATAAACTTTACCTACTTACTTACTTAAGGCAAACTGGAGTTTCCCCCAGCATGAAGCAGATCGGAAACAAAGACGTCCAACACGGTGCTTACTGTTTTCTAATACTGTAATAAGCACCCCATTGCCATGACTACAGTATGTGTCCAAATTTGGTCCAAACCTAGTCCAGTCCTGGTCCAGTCATGGTACAGTTCTGATTGATTCCTGGTCTGGTCCTGGTTCAGTCCTGGTCCAGTCCTGGTTTCTGGGTTTGTTTGTGGTTGTAGTCCCTGCACTGGGCCCCTCTCAGATCCAACTGTGGAAACAAAAAAACGTGTGCAGCAAAAGAAAAGCTGTGTGTGGAGAACCAGTAAATGTAAAGATACAGAGGAATCAAAACCAGAGGAGGAAAGTTAGGGGGGAGGGGGGCTCTCCTGGTCTCTGTGGTCTCTCTCTGGTCTCTCTCTGGTCTCTGTCTTGTCTCTCTCTGGTCTCTGTCTTGTCTCTCTCTGGTCTCTCTCTCTGGTCTCTCTCTGGTCTCTCTCCCTGTTCTCTCTCTGGTCTCTCTCTGGTCTCTGTGTTCTCTCTCTGGTCTCTCTCTTGTCTCTCTCTGGTCTCTCTCTGGACTCTCACTTGTCTCTCTCTGGTCTCTCTCAGGTCTAAACCAGGTGTCAGCCAAGTCAAACCAGTTCTAAACTAGGGCTAAACCAGGTCTGGACCAGGTGTGGACTCACCATATGGCGATGCAGACCTCCTCGGTGCTGGAGCAGAAGGAGGACAGGCTGCAGTTGCTGGTACACACATGGTCCCTGCAGACAGGACTGGACACCTCACACCAGCGACACACATTAAAGCTCAGGTGCGTAAATCCTCCCACTGCTGACAGACCTGCAACAACAGCAGACGATCAACCAGGACTGGGGTCATTTATTTATATAGCGCTGCACAACATCACAACAGCAGTGGACAGACCAGGGCCGGGTTCTCACCAGTGATAAAAGCTGTGATTGTGGATAGTTGCATTTAAAGCTGGGGTACCTAACTTTACCACATCATAAATGGAACTGTAATCAAAACCATCAAAAGAGTTTCTTGCTCCCAAAGCAGTTTTCTCGTGCATGTGTTTCAGACAGAAAAGTGATAAAGACAGGACCACTCAAGTCTAAACCAAATCTAAAGGTTCAATGGTCTGAAGCAGGTCTAAAGGTCTAATGGACTAAACCAGGTCCAAACCAGTTCTTATTTGTTGACAACTTTCTACTTTTACAAGTCTCTCTCTGTTGAAACATGAAACACTAGGGGCCCCAGCTTTAGCCTCAGTCCTTGTCCCCTCCATCAGGGACTTAGCCTCAGTCCTCAAAGGTAAAGGTGCACTTTATTAATCCCCGTAGGGCAATTCAATCCTCTGCATCCCCTCCATCACAGACTTAGCCTCAGTCCTTGTCCCCTCCATCACAGACTTAGCCTCAGTCCTTGTCCCCTCCATCACAGACTTAGCCTCAGTCCTTGTCCTCTCAGTCACAGACTTAGCCTCAGTCCTTGTCCCCTCCATCACAGACTTAGCCTCAGTCCTTGTCCCCTCCATCACAGACTTAGCCTAAGTCCTTGTCCCCTCCATCACAGACTTAGCCTCAGTCCTTGTCCCCTCCATCACAGACTTAGCCTCAGTCCTTGTCCCCTCCATCACAGACTTAGCCTCAGTCCTTGTCCCCTCCATCACAGACTTAGCCTCAGTCCTTGTCCCCTCCATCACAGACTTAGCCTCAGTCCTTGTCCCCTCCATCACAGACTTAGCCTCAGTCCTTGTCCCCTCATCACAGACTTAGCCTCAGTCCTTGTCCCCTCCATCACAGACTTAGCCTCAGTCCTTGTCCCCTCCATCACAGACTTAGCCTAAGTCCTTGTCCCCTCCATCACAGACTTAGCCTCAGTCCTTGTCCCCTCCATCACAGACTTAGCCTCAGTCCTTGTCCCCTCCATCACAGACTTAGCCTCAGTCCTTGTCCCCTCCATCACAGACTTAGCCTCAGTCCTTGTCCCCTCCATCACAGACTTAGCCTCAGTCCTTGTCCTCTCAGTCACAGACTTAGCCTCAGTCCTTGTCCCCTCCATCACAGACTTAGCCTCAGTCCTTGTCCTCTCAGTCACAGACTTAGCCTCAGTCCTTGTCCCCTCCATCACAGACTTAGCCTCAGTCCTTGTCCCCTCCATCACAGACTTAGCCTAAGTCCTTGTCCCCTCCATCACAGACTTAGCCTCAGTCCTTGTCCCCTCCATCACAGACTTAGCCTCAGTCCTTGTCCCCTCCATCACAGACTTAGCCTCAGTCCTTGTCCCCTCCATCACAGACTTAGCCTCAGTCCTTGTCCCCTCCATCACAGACTTAGCCTCAGTCCTTGTCCCCTCATCACAGACTTAGCCTCAGTCCTTGTCCCCTCCATCACAGACTTAGCCTCAGTCCTTGTCCCCTCCATCACAGACTTAGCCTAAGTCCTTGTCCCCTCCATCACAGACTTAGCCTCAGTCCTTGTCCCCTCCATCACAGACTTAGCCTCAGTCCTTGTCCCCTCCATCACAGACTTAGCCTCAGTCCTTGTCCCCTCCATCACAGACTTAGCTTCAGTCCTTGTCCTCTCAGTCACAGACTTAGCCCAGTCCTTGTCCCCTCCATCACAGACTTAGCCTCAGTCCTTGTCCCCTCCATCACAGACTTAGCCTAAGTCCTTGTCCCCTCCATCACAGACTTAGCCTCAGTCCTTGTCCCCTCCATCACAGACTTAGCCTCAGTCCTTGTCCCCTCCATCACAGACTTAGCCTCAGTCCTTGTCCCCTCCATCACAGACTTAGCCTAAGTCCTTGTCCCCTCCATCACAGACTTAGCCTCAGTCCTTGTCCCCTCCATCACAGACTTAGCCTCAGTCCTTGTCCCCTCCATCACAGACTTAGCCTCAGTCCTTGTCCCCTCCATCACAGACTTAGCCTCAGTCCTTGTCCTCTCAGTCACAGACTTAGCCTCAGTCCTTGTCCCCTCCATCACAGACTTAGCCTCAGTCCTTGTCCTCTCAGTCACAGACTTAGCCTCAGTCCTTGTCCCCTCCATCACAGACTTAGCCTCAGTCCTTGTCCTCTCAGTCACAGACTTAGCCTCAGTCCTTGTCCCCTCCATCACAGACTTAGCCTCAGTCCTTGTCCCCTCATCACAGACTTAGCCTCAGTCCTTGTCCCCTCCATCACAGACTTAGCCTCAGTCCTTGTCCCCTCCATCACAGACTTAGCCTCAGTCCTTGTCCCCTCCATCACAGACTTAGCCTCAGTCCTTGTCCTCTCAGTCACAGACTTAGCCTCAGTCCTTGTCCCCTCCATCACAGACTTAGCCTCAGTCCTTGTCCCCTCCATCACAGACTTAGCCTAAGTCCTTGTCCCCTCCATCACAGACTTAGCCTCAGTCCTTGTCCCCTCCATCACAGACTTAGCCTCAGTCCTTGTCCCCTCCATCACAGACTTAGCCTCAGTCCTTGTCCCCTCCATCACAGACTTAGCCTAAGTCCTTGTCCTCTCCATCACAGACTTAGCCTCAGTCCTTGTCCCCTCCATCACAGACTTAGCCTCAGTCCTTGTCCCCTCCATCACAGACTTAGCCTCAGTCCTTGTCCCCTCCATCACAGACTTAGCCTCAGTCCTTGTCCTCTCAGTCACAGACTTAGCCTCAGTCCTTGTCCCCTCCATCACAGACTTAGCCTCAGTCCTTGTCCCCTCCATCACAGACTTAGCCTCAGTCCTTGTCCTCTCAGTCACAGACTTAGCCTCAGTCCTTGTCCCCTCCATCACAGACTTAGCCTCAGTCCTTGTCCCCTCCATCACAGACTTAGCCTCAGTCCTTGTCCCCTCCATCACAGACTTAGCCTCAGTCCTTGTCCCCTCCATCACAGACTTAGCCTCAGTCCTTGTCCCCTCCATCACAGACTTAGCCTCAGTCCTTGTCCCCTCCATCACAGACTTAGCCTCAGTCCTTGTCCTCTCAGTCACAGACTTAGCCTCAGTCCTTGTCCCCTCCCATCACAGACTTAGCCTCAGTCCTTGTCCCCTCCATCACAGACTTAGCCTCAGTCCTTGTCCTCTCAGTCACAGACTTAGCCTCAGTCCTTGTCCCCTCCATCACAGACTTAGCCTCAGTCCTTGTCCCCTCCATCACAGACTTAGCCTCAGTCCTTGTCCCCTCAGTCACAGACTTAGCCTCAGTCCTTGTCCCCTCCATCACAGACTTAGCCTGAGTCCTCGTCCCCTCCATCACAGACTTAGCCTCAGTCCTTGTCCCCTCCATCACAGACTTAGCCTGAGTCCTCGTCCCCTCGGTCACAGACTTTAGCGACTGTAAAGTGTTGAAAGCAGCTCACACACAGATGTTGTTTTCCTTCAGAAATAAATTAAATCCAGAGCGTTTCTACTACAGAATATGAGGCGCAGCCAAAGCCCCGCCCCAAAGGATTGTGGGAAATCTGAAGCCGTTTCACCGCACAGTAAAATCTGCTCTGTTTACAAGAACTGTGAGGACTCACTATTGTGCTCAAACAAGGTCTAAACCAGGTCTGAACCAGGTCTGAACTAGGTCTAAACCAGGTCTGAACTAGGTCTGATCCAGGTCTAAACTAGATTTCAACCAGGTCTAAACTACTGTAGATCTAAATTAGGTCTAAACCAGGTCTAAACCAGGTCTAAACTAGGTCTAAACTAGGTCTAAACCGGGTATAAACTAGGTCTAAACCAGGTCTAAACTAGATCCAAACCACGTCTAAACCAGATCTAAACCAGGTCTGAACCAAGTCTAAACCCAGTCTGAACCAGGTCTTAACAAGGTCTGAACCAGGTCTAAACAAGGGCTGAACCAGGTCTAAGCCAGGTCTAATCTAGTCATAAACCATGTCTAAACTAGGCCTGGATCAGGTCTAATCAAATTTAATTACATATTAATAATAATGCATTGGTTTTAAGTAGCGCTGTTTTGGACACTCAAAGATGCTTTACATGTCCTTATTAATTCACTCCATAGATGGTGGTGATAAACTACTGTAGCCACAGCTGCCCTGGGGCACACTGGACAGAAGCGAGGCAACCAGTATGCGCCATCGGTCCCTCCGACCACCACCAACCATTCACACACACCAGACTCACTCTAGGCAATGGGGGTGAGGTGTCTTGCCTAAGGACATAACAGCAGTTTGGCACTTTACAGCCGCAGCCGCCCCACTGTGGTACCTGGTGTTACCAGAGGTTAAGTGTCTTGCCCAAGGACACAACGACAGCGACATCAGAAGGAGCCGGTGGAGAAAGTCTTATGGTGGGCTCAAAGGGCAATGCTCTACCAACTGAGCCACTGTCGCCCATCAAACAAACTAATAAATCTAACTAAGGTGGTGCGTATGTATTTTTAAGTCCTGCCGTATCGCTCTGCTCTCTGCCCCTTTATGCAACATCACAAGAAACATATTTAAATCATAAAAACAAGAAGATTAACGCTTGTTTTTCAAATATTTTCATTCTCAAAACTAATACAGCCCTGTGAAAATGTGAACTGATCAGACCTGGTTCTGACCTGTTTCAGACGTGGTTAAAGATGCAGTCAGTGATTTTTTTCCACACAAATTTTTTTTTAAATATTGTGGAAAAACGTCCTTAAACCCTAAAAGTAGTCAAAGTTATCATGTGTTTTCAAATAGTAATGGATTTCTATAGTCTCCAAAAATTAATAACAAATACTTTTGGAGCAGACCGATGAAAATTAACCAATGGGATTTGTTCATCCCCAACGAACCAATGGGATGCGTTTACCGCCTTTACCCTCTTTTATCGGAATGATCAGATTTTCTACAACCTAAAATACCTGAACAGAAAATACCAATTTCACGTTTGCCACCCACTCTCCCTGTTGTGACAGAAAAAAAGAAAATGCTGGATGTTTGGTTTGGTGGAGAGGCGAGGGGAGGGGGAGTGGTTTCCAGTTGGTGCTACGGCTAAGCTAACAACATTGCTCACTGCACCTTTAAGGTCTGGTCCAGGTGTTTGTTATTATTGCATTTCCTGTGTTTGAACTGTTTGATTCTCTGATCTGTTGTTGATGAAGCGACAACTTTGTGAAGTCCTCTGAGGCGACTGCTGCTGTGGTTTAGTGCGATACATACACTGTAGATAAAGTGAATGAAATGTTGTCATGACGATGTGTAAGAGACAATGGTTCCAGGCTCAGACCTCGTCACACTCGGCTCTTTGTTAAACTGGAGATAATGGGAGCTTCACACACTCTCAGTCTCTACAATCTCTACAGTCTCTACACAGTCTCTACAGTCTCTATAGTCTCTACACAGTCTCTATAGTCTCTACACAGTCTCTACAGTCTCTACACAGTCTCTACAGTCTCTACACAGTCTCTACAGTCTCTACAGTCTCTACACAGTCTCTACAGTCTCTACAGTCTCTACACAGTCTCTACAGCCTCTACAGTCTCTACACAGTCTCTACACAGTCTCTACAATCTCTACAGTCTCTACACAGTCTCTACAGTCTCTACAGTCTCTACACAGTCTCTACAGTCTCTACACAGTCTCTACAGTCTCTACACAGTCTCTACAGTCTCTACAATTTCTACAGTCTCTACACAGTCTCTACAGTCTCTGAGTCTCTACACATTCTGAGTCTCTACACAGTCTCTAAAGTCTCTACAGTCTCTGAGTTGCTACACAGTCTCTGAGTCTCTATACAGTGTCTCAGTCTCTACACAGTCTGAGTCTCTATACAGTCTCTGAGTCTCTACACAGTCTCTACAGGTAAGTCTCTACACAGTCTGAGTCTCTACACAGTCTCTTAGTCTCTACACAGTGTCTGAGTCTCTATACAGTCTCTGAGTCTACACAGTCTCTTAGTCTCTACAGAGTCTCTGAGTCTCTACACAGTTTCTGAGTCTCTACACAGTCTTTAAGTCTCTGCACAGTCTCTAAGTCTCTACACAGTCTTTAAGTCTCTGCACAGTCTCTAAGTCTCTACACAGTCTCTAAGTCTCTACACAGTCTGAGTCTCTACACAGTCTCTTAGTCTCTACACAGTCTCTGAGTCTACACAGTCTCTGAGTCTCTACACAGTCTCTGAGTCTCTACAGTCTTTAAGTCTCTGCACAGTCTCTAAGTCTCTACACAGTCTCTAAGTCTACACAGTATCTGAGTCTCTACACAGTCTTGAGTCTCTACAGTCTTTAAATCTCTACACAGTCTCTGAGTCTCTACACAGTCTCTGAGTCTCTAGTCTTTAAATCTCTACACAGTCTCTGAGTCTCTACACAGTCTCTGAGTCTCTACGGCACGGTGGCTGAGTGGATAGCACTCTCGCCTCTCAGCAAGAAGGTCCTGGGTTCGAATCCCGGTCGGACCAGGGCCTTTCTGAGTGGAGTTTGCATGTTCTCCCCGTGTCTGCGTAGGTTTCCCCCCGGGTACTCCGGTTTCCCCTACCACTAAAAATATGTCCAATAGTTCTGTTCTGACTGTTCAGTCTCTGAGTCTCTACACAGTCTCTGAGTCTCTTCACAGTCTGAGTCTCTAAACCATAGGTGTCAAAGTCAAGGCCCGGGGGCCAGATCCGGCCCGCTAATTAATTATCTTGGCCCCCGGGATGATATTTGATTAGTATTAGAAACGGCCAGCACAGAGCCATCATCTCTTTGAAGGAAGTTTGTTTTTGTCTGTGAGCCTGTTGAAAAATGTCTCTACACAGTCTCTGAGTCTCTACACAGTCTCTGAGTCTCTATACAGTGTCTGAGTCTCTACACAGTCTCTGAGTCTCTACACAGTCTCTGAGTCTCTATACAGTCTCTAAGTCTCTACACAGTCTCTGAGTCTCTACACAGTCTCTGAGTCTCTACACAGTATCTAAGTCTCTACACAGTCTATAAGTCTCTATACAGTCTCTAAGTCTCTACACAGTCTATAAGTCTCTATACAGTCTCTAAGTCTCTACACAGTCTCTGAGTCTCTACACAGTCTCTGAGTCTCTATACAGTCTCTAAGTCTCTGAGTCTCTACACAGTCTCTGAGTCTCTACACAGTATCTAAGTCTCTACACAGTCTCTGAGTCTCTACACAGTATCTAAGTCTCTACACAGTCTATAAGTCTCTACACAGTCTGAGTCTCTACACAGTCTCTAAGTCTCTACACAGTCTCTACACAGTCTCTACACAGTCTCTGAGTCTCTACAGTCTCTGAGTCTCTACACAGTCTCTGAGTCTCTACACAGTCTCTAAGTCTCTACACAGTCTCTGAGTCTCTACAGTCTCTGAGTCTCTACACAGTCTGAGTCTCTTCACAGTCTCTGAGTCTCTACACAGTCTCTAAGTCGCTGCACAGTCTCTACACAGTCTCTGAGTCTCTTCACAGTCTCTGAGTCTCTACAGTCTCATTAGTGTTTATGAATGACTTTATTGTATTATTCCATGGTAAATCTGTTATTATTCACAGATAAAGTCCACCTCACTGGTTCTTCTGAGCAGTTGCTTCTATCACTAGTTTTCACATGTATTTATGGTTTGCATCAGGTTTAGTCCTGGTGTAGTCCAAGTTTAGACCTGGTTTAGACCATGTATCTTTGGCCTCGTCACATCTTTAGATCTTTAGCTTTTTCAGACAGAAAAGTGAAAAAGGGAGGACCACCCTCTATCAGCCAATCAGCTCTCAGCTCATAGGGTCAAACAGTGGCTCACAGGGTCTCTCTCAAAGGGATGCAAAATATATTATGTTTTCCAGGGTCTGTTGAACTTTTACAATTGTTTTGTGTGTGTTGGCACCAGTGTTGTGGAAGTTACTTTTAAAAAGTTACTTTTCACGTTACTCCTTACTTCTTTAATAAGTAGCCTGTCACTTTACTTAGTTACTTTCTAAATAAAGTAACTTTGTCACTATACTTTTGTAATACTGTAATTTGGCTCGACTTTGAGCAGGACTGTTCTTAAATGTGTCATGGAAGTTCTACTATGAAGATCATAATTCTTTCTTGCTCTTTCTGCTCAAAACACCACACAGATCTCACTCTGGGAATCGCTTTAGGACCTCTCACTCTGAGCCTGATCTCATTTACTCAAGTACCTCAGAGACTGCGCTAAAGGACGTTGTATTACTTTGTAACGTGTTACACTGACGACCTGAAGTTGGCTGGATGACACCAGTTACTTGGGTTAGTAAGAGGGCCACATAACATGACAGTAAGAGGCCGCCTTTAGCCCACAGGCCTTAGTTTGGAAGAGACTGCAACAACAATCTTCTTATTCAACTTTCTCTAAATGTTTTTTTTCTCCTTTCTGATATTTCTGACCATTTCCCAAACACACAATCTTCTGCCAACGAGGAGACAAAGCCCCTCTGTCCTGTCACTGCTTTATCTTAAGGAAACAAATATCAAACATGTGTCAGAACATTCTAAATCCTCCTTGTTATGAGCCTGGTGTTCCCTGTTTGCAGCGTGAGCTCAGCACCAACAGCTCAAACACAAAGATTCAAAGTGAAGGAAATGATTGTAACAGTCCTCTGTCAGGACAAAAGTTTATCTCAGGTACAAACAGATCAACAGCAGGAGACTTACTGAGCGCGAGCAGAAGAAGGATTCCAACACGGGACGTCCAGCACCGAACCATGGTACAAGTCTGCAGTGAGAGTCCCAGAGCAGAGGAGGCGAGAGGGAGGGGGAGGGGCCAGATGTGAGTCCAGATGTGGAGGAAGACCGCCCCCAGACCCACCACCACTACTGCTGCTGCTGCTACTACTACTGCTACTACTATTATTATTATTACCACTACTGCTACTTCTACAAGTACTACTGCTACTACTACTACTACTACTGCTGCTGCTGTTACTACTACTGCTACTACTACTTTTATTATTATTACTACTACTGCTACTTCTACAAGTACTACTGCTACTACTACTACTACTACTGCTACTACTACTACTGCTACTACTACTACTACTACTACTACTACTACTACTACTACTGCTGCTGCTGCTGCTGCTGCTGCTGCTTTTATTCCAACAGTTGGTTGATTTTTTCAACACATCTATGTTGATCATAGTTAAAAATCCTGCTAGTTGTCCACCACCAATCACCTCTGGATCTACAGCCTCAGAGTCTGTCCTGTCCTTTTGTTTAGTTTCCTTTTACAGAAGTTCAGTCTGTCCTGTCCACCTGCTCTGGGAGAAGATAGGGGCTAGAACAAACTGTTTTAAATGTTAATTTGAGGTTGGTTAATCTACTAAACAGACACTTTTAAAAGTGTCTTCAGTTTGAATAAGCTGTCCCTGATTTGTGCCATACTCACTGTGAATATTGTATTTCATACAATATTGTATTGTATTGCTTTGCATTCTGTTATTTATTTTACATGCAAACAATGTTCCCCTTTGGGACAATGAAGATGACTCTTATTCTCTAAACATTACATCTATGTATCATAGAGTGCTGCTTTATTCCCCTCTGCTCTGTCCTAACATTTATGGGTGAATCCAAGGTTCTCTACTCACTGTAATTAAATAATTAACTTATCAAATCTGTTTAAAACAGATCAATTCTTTCTTTATTGGTTATTGGAAAAATAACAGTAAAAACAATGAAAATGTTTTGTTTGACAATTTGAAAAAAAAATGAACAAGAAACAAAAAAGAAAACGAGAGAAAATGATGATTGTTAAAGAAGCGATGATGATAGCTTCTAAAACTCTAACAGCTCTCTCTGTGCTCTCTCTCTGGTGTCTCTCTCTCAGGTCTTTCCCTGGTCTCTCTCTCCTCGTCTTCGGGGTGGAATGTCCTCACATTAAATATATGTCTCGGTTTCTGAAACTCTAGGAAAACTGTGGAGCCAGACGCCAGTGTCCAGCGGCTGAGAGAAGGTGGTCTCTTCTCTGTGGATCAGCCTCATGCTGTTATTAGAGACTCTGTAAAAGGACAAAACCCCAATCTTGGACCAGACCGGACCTGAGACTTCAGATAAATGCACAGCTGCAGGTCACAGCTCAAAGTCCAGGACCAGAGGTTGTTCCCAAATCCATCAGAGTCCATGTTTCTGGGGACGTTCCTGTAAGAGGACAAATGATTATTACAGTAAGATAGTCAGTTCTCAGAGTTGCGTCGGTCCAGATGAACAAAGTCAATACTAATCTTACAAATCATTTTATCTGTAGAGCTTTACATTTGTGGTTTTAAAAATCTTTGGACATTCTTCTGAATGCATTAAAACTGGTGTGAAGAGAGGTGGGATGTGGTTAGCCATGCTTCTATGTGCATTAATAAAAGTGTGAAGTTGTTATCCATGATTCTAAGTGCATTAATACTATAGTTTGAAGTGGTTAGCCATGTTTCTAAGTTCACTAATACAAATGGGATGTGGTTTGGCATATTTTTAAGTGCACTGATATAGGTGTGGAGTGGTTAGCTGTGCATCTAAGAACACTAATACAGGTGGTATGTGGTTAGCCGTGCTTTTAAGTGCATTCATTTAGGTGTGAAGTGGTTAGCTGTGCTTCTAAGTTCAATAATAGAGGTGGGATGTGGTTATCCATGCTTCTAAGTGCATTAATACTAGTTTGAAGTGGTTAGCCATGTTTCTAAGTTCAATAATACAGGTGTGATGTAGTTAGTCACTATTTGACTCTTTGGGCTGAGAGCTGAGTGGAGAGAGGGTGGATCTCTCTTTTTCTCTGTTTTTCTGCAATGGATTTAGAGCCTGGAACTAGTTTCTTTGTTATTTTTTTTGCAATTTGAAAGTTAGGTACCCCAGCTTTAAGACCACTGGATTTCAATGTTATAAAGTTAGTGTAGCAGCATTGCCCTTTGAGCCTGAAGGTTGTGGGTTCAAGCCCACCAAAAGACCTACTTCACAACTCCCACTCATGTCTGCTGTCGTTGTGTCCTCGGACAAGACACTTAACCCCACTTTGCCTGAGGCCCCCGCTGAAAGATCTCAGCTCCTGTGGACTCACCACCTCCAGGAGGATCAGTGAGGGGCTGGTGCTGTGTGTACAGGGTGCAGCTCTGACTGCCCCCCTGCCCCTGACTGTTTGTTGGTGAATTGACAGCTTTGTAAAGTCCTCCACAATAACTTCTGACCAAACCAGTTGACAGCCGCCCTCCTGTTTCCCTCAGACAGAAACAGCCAGCTGTGGACGCTGGCCTCATCCAGAGAGACTGGTTTGGTTCAGCTGCAGACACTGAAGCCTGGTCTGCCTTTTTCTAGATCAAGGCCTGGCTTCTTCCTAAATAATTGATCAAAATCCTTCTTCATCTTCTTCCAGGAGGCCCCATGGACTTCTGCGGCGGTGGGTTGGTGTCTCTTGTGTCTCTCAGACGCTGTAGCAGCGGTGAGAGGTTGGTGCGTCCTTCCTCCAAAGTCAGCTGCAGTCTCTCCCTGAGCTCGGACACAGCTCTGCTCACTTCCTCAAAGGGGCACCTGGTCTTTGTGTGGCCCCTATCTGGGACTGGCCCCTGTGAGTGTGAGGCCAGTGCAGTGTGGAGCTGTAGAAAGCTGTTGTGGTCTTTGGTGAGGAACAGTGTGTCCAGGCCACAGAGGCTCTTTTTCAGCTCACTCAGCTCCTGCTTCACTTGGTCTTGGATCTCTCGGACTAAGCTCAGTCCTCTCTCCTCCTCAGACTGCATCTGCTGCTCCACTGCTTAAGCCTGGTTCACACGGCAGGATAATTATCTTAAAAACGCTTCGATTTTCGTAAAATATTTGGATGGATTTTCCTGCCATGTGTGATGTGTTAAGACTGCGCTTGTCGCTCAGAAAGACTTTGTGACTGCTCCAATCACAAATCGGGGATGTGTTGGATGTCGTTTTTGTGAGTGGTGACCCCCCTGGAACAGACGAGCACGTTGCCAGTGGACTGCAGCTTGTAGTCAATCAGAAGACGAGGTGATGAGGCGGCGAGGAAACACTGGAATAAGTATAATCCATGATTGTCTCCTCTTCTTTGACCGTCGCCTTTTATTTTGATAACGCTTTTTCTCTGTTATCAACACATTCAAGATCTCTGCGATTTATTCAACCAGCAAATCCAGGAGGCAAAGACAGATGCAGCTGTTCCACTGGAAACTGTCACAATGAAAACATGACAAAGACATTTGACTGTGTTGTTCATAAACAGTGGTGTCAGGACTTATTATTTTGATGACACAGACACTTTCATTGACATGAAGATGTTTTGCAGTTTGTACTAGTTTCAAACATTTTTAAAAAACTATAAATGGTTGTCCTGATGTAAAATGTTTACATCCTCTGTAGAGGGGGCTAACTGGCCAATTTCAATTATTTTACTTTCAAATGACCTAGTCCCTGAAGTTGAATAATTGATTTAAGTTGTGTGCATTTTGACGCTCCATTGCTCGAACATCATTTAACTTATCAAAATTCTACGAGATGATGTGAAGCAATTTTGAGCCAAATCGGTGAAACGGCCGAGGAGGAGTTGATCTCCAACCGACATGTGTGAAAATGATCAATTTTCATTTTTCCTGTTTCCAATTAAATTAATGGGCTTTTCAATGGGTCAATTTCAATGGGCTTGTCAATCGGCGTGGGCCCCCTGACAAAGGTTTATTTATATAGCGCATTTTTAAAGACCAAGGTCACCCAAAGCGCTTTACAATCGTTCAGAGTTCAAAAATTGTTTCAATTTTCTCCAAAAACAGATGAAATTCAGGTGTCCAGTAGCAGCAAAATAAATAAATAAATCACATTCTATTGAAGAAAATTGGACTTAAAGCTAATTCAATAATTAAGGATTCAAAAGCTTACTGAAGTAAGAAAGCCAATGAGCGTGACGTCATATGCAGATTATCATGATTTTATCACTGGTCCTAAAACAAAACTATTATCAATTTATCATACTGTATATTTACTACATGATTGTTTTGATCCAAATCTCCTTTATCAAATAAATAACTTTCATAAAGTTATGTGTGATATTGACTTCAGAAACTCTACACACACATATTATATATATATATATATATATATATATATATATATATATATATATATACTGTAATATATATATATATATGTATATATATATATATAAATAATTTTAGTAATGCAAAAATAAAAGCATACGATCAGTATAATAGTGTAAAATACTATTACTCATCACATTCAAGAGAGCAAAAAATAATGAACCATTATGGACATAGACAGACACAGGACCATAGACACAGGACCATAGGCACAGGACCATAGACACAGGACCATAGGCACAGGACCATAGACACAGGACCATAGGCACAGGACCATAGACACAGGACCATAGGCACAGGACCATAGTCACAGGACCATAGACACAGGACCATAGGCACAGGACCATAGACACAGGACCATTGACACAGGACCATAGGCACAGGACCATAGTCACAGGACCATAGGCACAGGACCATAGTCACAGGACCATAGACACAGGACCATAGACACAGGACCATAAACACAGGACCATAGACACAGGACCATAGACACAGGACCATAGACACAGGACCATAGGCACAGGACCATAGGCACAGGACCATAGACACAGGATCATAGTCACAGGACCATAGACACAGGACCATAGGCACAGGACCATAGGCACAGGACTATAGACACAGGACCATAGACACAGGATCATAGTCACAGGACCATAGACACAGGACCATAGTCACAGGACCATAGACGCAGGACCATAGACACAGGACCATAGACACATGACAATAGACACAGGACTATAGACACAAGACCATAGAGACAGGACCATAGTCACAGGACCATATAGACACAGGACCATAGACACAGGACCATAGACATAGGACCATAGACACAAGACCACAGACACAGGACCATAAACAGAACAGGTCTCGGTGGAGCAGAGAGAGAGCAGCTCCTCCCATTGGGCAGAGAGGGGGAGGAGAGCCCCAGTTTAAAGTCACAGAGACAAGTTCTTGAAGAAAATTGTGGAAAAAGACAAGAATCAAATACCACCTGCTCTCAGCCAATCAGCTCTCAGCCCAAAGAGTCAAAGAGTGACTCACAGGGCTCTTTCTTAAGCATGCAAAATATGTTTCTAATAGATGTGTCTGATAATGTGGTCTGATTACTCTTTCTGTGATAACTACGTATTGTTTATGAAAAAAAAAATCAAGTCAGCCTTCCTTCAGCCATATTTTTGTAAAATATAATAATAATAATGTTTCTTTAGTCATGTGGCTGTTTTGAAAGGCTCTCCACACTTCCCAAACTTTATTTTGAAACACACTGGATGCAGATCTTCCATAACGCCTCGGAGAAACAGACCCAGGGGGAAGTCTAGAGTAAACACTGGTCACATGAAGAAGTCTCTAAGATCCGAAAGTGCTTTATCAGCAGACTGTGATCTTTGTCCCTGATGTGGACTGTGACCCAGACCCAGACTGGAGCCGAAGACAGGGCTCCAACTGACATTTGAAGTAAGTATTATTATATGTACTGTTGTATATGGAGGCATTTTATAACTGAGGAGATTCATGTATAACTTCAAACTGTAACAAATGGTAAATAAGTAGCTTTCTATGTAAAGTATGTGTGAAATCTATAGAAAACAAGCTTTATGAATTTGTCTTTACTCTATTGGCTCAAACGCTGCATGTTTAAAGAATGTAAAATTGTGTGAAAAGTTCAAATACTAACTTTTTTGTTTCATACGTGTTTGGCTTTTTCATTGTTGTTTAACTCCTGGGTCTACAGCCTCAGTCCTGGACCTACAGCCTCATTCCTGGATCTACAGCCTCAGTCCTGGATCTACAGCCTTAGTCCTGGATCTACAGCCTCAGTCATCCTGCTCGCTATGGACCAATGGCTTCTTTGCATTTGTTATTATTGCATTTCCTGTGTTTGAACAACTGTTACGATTTAAAATGATACACAAATACATGTAATTGAATTGGGAGTAAACTCGCTAATACGTTCACGTTTGTACGTGAAGTTGTACAGACTAATTTTTTTATGCACTGTATCCAATTTGGAGATGTGCAATATGATTCTACATATGTGCTTACCAATACAGAGAATATACCCTTTAATTCTTATCCTTATTCCCCATGTCCTGACCAAACCTCAGCCTCAGTCTCACTCCTCTCTCTCTCTGCTCGTTCAGTTCAGATCTCGTCATGAGGAGGCTGTTGCTAGTGTCTAACTCCACGCTCCACGGCAGCGGATACTTGGACCACTGTCAGCAGCAGATCACCGACTTCTTTGGAAAGTGAGTTTTTCATGATTTACTTTACTTAATCTTTACTTAAGACAAACTGTCGACAAATAACACCACAACAGGCTGTTTACATATTGTTAGAGACCTTGTTATCTTCTGCATACTGTGAGTCACTGTTTGAATCTTTGGGCTGAGAGCTGATTGGCTGAGTGAGGCTGGTCCCCTCTTTTTCACTTTTCTGTTTGAAAAAGCCGATCTGAAGATGTGACAGAGAAAAAAAATACAAGATGTGAAAACGAGTGACCGAAGCAACTGTTTTATCTGTATTTTGGTCTGAAAGTTAGGTACCTGAGCTTTAATTTCTGTGACTGTGATCAGGTTTATTGCGTGCCATCTTATCAGACTTGGAAGTTTCTGAAGATCAATTATTTTTAGGATTAGAGTTGACGAGTTGAGTAAACGTTACACATTATGTTTGAAGTCGTAGAATAAAATAATGAGAATAGTTACTTCCTTATATTATGGTTATACAGCTGCAGGAACATCCTCAGCCACTGGAGGGCACTGTTCTGTTTGGAATAATGAGGCAGATGGATCGTTTTCAAAGGTCATCTTAAAGAAGAGATAGTACGCCTTATTCTTGGCCATTAAAGCTGTTCACTGAGTCCTTTCATATTTTAGAATGTGATGAAAAGTCTTCAGTAGAAAATACATGATGAACAAGTATGATGTAATAAACTCATGGAACAGAAAAAACATGGTGCAGAGAACATTCACTGTTTGTTTGTTTGTAGAAATGTGAAGAGAGTGCTGTTTGTGCCGTACGCTCTCCATGACAGAGACGCCTACACGCAGACGGCTCGAGTCAAGTTCCTTTCTCTGGGTGAGAGAGCTTCATTCACCTTCGAGTCACAGACATACCACAGACTCACACTGACGCAAACATGAAACTGAAGCCTTTACTCACATCTCATCTGAGGGGTTTTTCTGATCTCCTCACATTGTTTTCTTGACACATTATTCTGAAGTATCAGGTGATTGTGGATTGTGGATAGTGGATGAAAAATGGACTGCCACCTTAATGTGGGACATTGTACTCAGAGCTCTGTTGTCTGAGGCTTTTTGCCCGGTCCCCCATGACGACAGGTCCTAGGTGAAGAGTCAGATGAAGTGAGGTCCAAAACCCACCATGGACCTGTCCTCCCAGGTCCCAAAGGAGGAGAGTTTCTCCCAGGTCCCAGGTCCCAGAGGAGGAGAGTTTCTCCCAGGTCCCAGGTCCCAGAGGAGGAGGGCTTCTTTCAGGGGAAAGGCCATCTGGTCAGGCCTGGTGTAAACCATCAAAGTTAAAGCCATCACACAGTACTTGTGTGAAATTCTAATACACTACATATTCCACTGTGGATATAATAGAGAGATGGTTTTGGATTGTCAGAACTTTTTTTATCCACGACTTGTGAGCCAAGACAAGGACTGAACTGGACTTTTCTGAACAGGTTATGAAGTTGACGGCATCCATGAGGCGGCAGACCCAGTGGAGGCTGTCCGCAAAGCAGAAGCTATATTCATTGGTGAGAAAACATTTGACACTTGCAGAAGTGTCCTAAACACATAGAGCCAATGGAACCATTGTGTTTGAGATGATTGCATTTACTGTGTGATTCTCTGATCTGACGACTGCTGCTGTGGTTTAGAGCGAGACACAAATACATTGAATGGAATTGAATTAATAGCACAAAAAGTATTACTATAATTATTATTATTATTATTGATTATGATTATGATTTTTATTATTATTTTTATTAGGCACATTCTTTAAAGTTCTCCCACATTGGCTCCAAATGATTAGTTTTCCAAATGCATTCTTCTCTACCTCAATAAATGCAGCTTGCGGAACCACCAACAAAACCTTAAGTACCTAAGCCTTATGCCACCAGTACCTAGATCTTATGCCACCTGTACCTCAACCATATGCCACCAGTACCTAGGCCTTTTGCCACCAGTACTTAGGCCCTGGGGGATCGTAAGTGTCACACAATGATCTTCACAGACCAAATTCCGCCGCCAGGGTCTAGGGCCAAACAAATCAATAAATCATTGAATGCATTTTTTGCCTCTGTGTCGTCTTTCCAGATTGAAACATACTTAATAGATCCTTTGCCTACATTCTGTCCTTGCGTTCAGGTGGTGGTAACACGTTTCGTCTGCTGAAGAATCTCTACGACAACAGGGTGTTGCTGGAGATCAGGAGGAGAGTTCTGGAGGTGAAACGTGACATCACACGATCACAGCTCAAACCCCAAACTCCGTCAGAAACCTGATCACAGGGCTCACACAGACTGCCTCAGGATCAACCTTCTCCACAGTTGCCACAAAACAACAAACCTGCCACATACAGTATCAAAATAAACATGACATGAATCTTGTACGGTGTGTTCCAAAATCTCAATCTTAAAAGCAAAACATGACAACAACCAAACTAAAATCCATAACTTGGAGAAAACCTGCTCCAAAAACATTGCAGAAATAAAACAATTAATAATACAAATATACATAAAACAAAAACAAAAGTAATGCTCTCTTGGATGAAGGAGTGACTCATGTCCTCCTGTCTCAGTGAGTCCACTGGTCCATGTCCTCCTGTCTCAGTGAGTCCACTGGTCCATGTCCTCCTGTCTCAGTGAGTCCACTGGTCCATGTCCTCCTGTCTCAGTGAGTCCACTGGTCCATGTCCTCCTGTCTCAGTGAGTCCACTGGTCCATGTCCTCCTGTCTCAGTGAGACAAAGATCCAAGTGTCGTTTGTGTCCTCTGTATGTATAAACTGTTAAATTTAGATTTTGAGGTTAGTTCAAGCCCACCACAAGACCTTCTCCACCCTTGGGCAAGACATTTAATCAAACTTTGCCTGAAGCCCATGCTGAAAGATCAAGGTTGCTCAGAGCAGCTGTACTCGGCACCTGCAGGAGGATCAGCGAGAGGATGGTGCTCTCTGAATTGGGTGCAGCTCTAACTGCCACCCCCTACGCAGAAATTGATTAAGGGGAAGAAAATGGGTGGAGGGTTCTAGTGAACAGGGGGTTTGTTCTTCTGACCTGTCCCTCTCTGCAGGAGGGTGTGCCGTACATGGGCTCCAGCGCTGGGACTAACGTAGCCACCGTTAGCATTAGCACCACCAACGACATGCCCATCGTCTTCCCACCGTCCTTCGCCGCCATCGGCCTGGTCCCCTTCAACATCAACCCCCACTACCTGGATCCAGACCCCACCAGCCGACACATGGGGGTAAGGGCACTTGGAAAATATGGAAAAAATTTCAGATTAGGAGATTCTCTGGCCTCTCTCTCTGGTCTCTTTCTGGCCTCTCTCTGGTCCCTCTCTGTTTTCCCTCTGGTCTCCTCAGAATCAGTATATTTTCCTTTTGACGTTTAAACTACATTTTGAACCTAAACTAAAAGCTTGAATACCCAACTTTCAAACCACAACGCTATCTTCATGCTTTGTATCTCCGGCCTCTGTCACATCTTCAGATCAGCTTTTTCAGACAGAAGACACAAGAGAAGACTCACAGGGCTCTTTCTTAGTAAAAAAGAACAAACCACATTTATTAATTATGAAACAAATATGCAACATAAAGTTTAAATGCCATGGCTAAAGAAGTCTGACTTTTGGTTTAATCCAATTCCTCATCTATGAACAAGAACACACAGAAGCTAATATGCTACATTGCTAAATGTGGTCATTGATGCTGCTTTCCAAAAATAGCACAGATCACTTTTTCAAACCAATAAATGTACATCTGGGATCTACAGGTTAATTTATCTGTTCACACTTCACTGCTCCTTTAAGACCTGCTGGTGCTCTCATGTGTTTGCAGGAGACCAGGGAGCAGAGGATCAGCCAGTACCATGAGGAGGTGGACACCCTTGTTCTGGTAAGACAACACTGGAAAATAAAATTTGGCAATATATTTTTTCATTTGAGCAGATTCTAAAAAACAAAATTTGCCAATAGGCCGAACAGAATAATCCTTTTTTTGTAAAAACACAAAAAATGTCTCCCTTGGAATGGCAGTTTCATGGACTTACTGAACGAGAAGTCTTTAGTCAAGTGTCACTTGCAGATGGACAGATCCGTCATGAATTTCAAAGGCAGATCCTTGTGAATCTGCCTCCAAGTCACCATATTTTTGGTGACTATCCAGCCACATTCTTGATTTTTGGGGCAAAATAGTGTCATAGTTACACAATAAAACACATTTCTCCATGTGACTCACTGACAATAGCATAAAAACAGTATCAAAGCAAACACTGCCCAGGTTTGCTGTTTTGATTTTCTCCTCCTGTCAATCACCTCCTGGAGGCGGGGCTTCTGGAGCTTGAGCCACGTAAGAAAGTGATAGCATTCATCAAAATTAATAGAGTCGTTTTGCTTCCTCCACAGAATGAAAGAGAAAGATCGCTCTCTAACTAAAGCTTAAGGGAATCAAAGAAAAAACCCCATGAAATATTGGGACCTTTTATTATTGCAATGCCACATCTAACCTGTTGTGTCAGCAGCTGGTCACAGGGCTGGACAAACAGGCGATAAAAGTACGTCCACTGTCTACAAACATTCAAAGTCCTGGATGGGAAACCTTTTCGACACCGTCACTGCAGCATCTTGGACAAATATTGGATACTCTCTGGTTTCTAAAATCTTAAATGTCAGACCAAAAGTAGGCCACCACTGTCGATCTTTTTTTTATTAGAGCCATCAGATCTGCTGTTTCTGCTCTAATCTTGTTGAGAAAAAGCATCCAAGCAGCCAATCATCTTTCTCGGTGAACGTCGTTCAGTTCTGGAACACGACACGAGTCATATACTAAAGAGCGCTACACTCAGGACTTTTAAACATTCGTTAAAACATGGCTTTTGGACAATAAACCTTGTAAGCATTTATGGGACTACTGTTGGAAACTAGTTGTACAGCTGATGTTTACTGTCCATTTTCATATAAACTAATAAACTAAGACATTAATAAACAAATGTGACATCACTCTCTCCTCAGGCTCTCAGAGAAGGCTGCATGTTGCTGGTGGAGGGGGACAGAGCCACACTGTTGGGCTCCACACACGCTCGCCTCTTCAGCAGGTAACATCTGACACTAACTCCCACAGCAGTCCAGGGTTCTGGACTGGATCTGGACTGGACCTGGACTGGACCTGGACTGATCCTGGACTGGGTACGGTTTTGCTTGGTTTTTCACCAGAGATGGCCAGTGCCTGTCACTATAGAAACACTGTTTTATTACTGTTTTTTGCTTTTGTGTCCAGGTTTTGCTCTTATTAAAAGTGACTAATAGTAAAAAGAAAAACTAAACATTTTTGGGGGAAATTTCTCAGACTTCCATTGGTCGGAATGGGAGCAGTCAAAGTGACGGCTGTAGAAGTTCTAGTCATTTCAGAATTATCCCTGTATTCTGTCCCTCATAGTTTGATATGTTTCCCTAAGCAGAATTATTTTATAAAAAGCTGATGTAATTCCTTGTTTAACCATGGGAGTTTGCTATTTGGTTGCCATCTTTCTCTGTTTTATTTCAACTGCGTCTTGCGTTTTGTTTGTGGTGGAGCCACCTATGGGTGAATAGATGTAAGCAGCAGGCAGGGTCCTCCATTTTGAGTCCAGCACAAGAGGAGTTCACCCGTGAACCGCTCCTCTATGTGCCCTTTTACTACCCGTTTTTTCTGCTGTATCTTTGGCAAGACATAATCTGTGAGTGTTTTGAATGTTACAGAGCCTTTCAGTTGTGTAGAATCAACATGTATTTAGTTTGTTTACAATTCGTTTTTCCTGTGAGCCAGCTATGCTAATTTGCTATCAATGCTAGTGGTGTTAATTACAGTATATGTTACTAATGTGTGTAAGACACATCTTTTTCTTTTGATTTTTGTACCAATACATGTTTTTGTATGTATTTACAGTTTTACAAAATAATAATAAGAAATGGAGAGACCACAGTTCTCCTGCGTCCCATTTATTTTTGTGTTAAGCTCGCTGATAAGGTTGAGTTAGTGAAACACTCAACTGAAACCAGAAGAGTAAAAAGATTATCTTCACGTCAAGATACACAAAGCCTCAAGATGTCGCAAGCACGAGAGTCACCATCCGTCTCCCAGCTTGCAATCAGGTCGGAGTGCATGTCAAGCAGCTCAAGCAGGTCAAACACCAGTCAAGTTGCAGCAAGAGCACGAGCAGACGCAGAAGCTGCCCGCACCAGAGCCCAGTACGCCAAACGCCAAATAGACATAGAAGGGTGAGGCTGAAGCAGCGCTCGCGGCAGCTCAAGTCCTAGAAGCAGCAGCTGATGAAGCAGTTCATAGTGCTGTTGTCCTGGCAGCTACTGGCATTCCTGTAAAAACACCTCCTTCCTTGAGACGCGCACAGGACTTTGTAGACACTCACTTCAATAATGACAAAGAACTTGTGAAAGAAGAAGTAAATATTGAAACCAAGCAAGCATCCCGCAAAAACGACAATCACAAAGTAGACTACAACCAGGAGTCACCCGCGGAGTGTCACGTGGACAATTGGCTTCCAAGGTACCAGGATAATCACACCAGATCAGGTACTTTCACCAAATGCACACCTTCACCTGGGTCACAAGCAGAACTAGCTGACCTAGCAACCTACTTAGCACGTCGTGATCTGCTTAACACGGGGTTCACCGTTTTCGACAACAAGCCAGAGTCCTACCTATCCTGGAAATCCATGTTCTACAATGCAACTCAGGGGCTCAACCTCAAAGCCAATGAAGAGCTCAACCTACTCACCAAATGGCTCGGCGGGGAGTCACTTCAACACGCTCTGCGAATCAGAGCAGTCCACGTGAACAACCCAAAGGCAGGTCTTCAGCGCCTCTGGCAACGTCTTGATAAAAGTTATGGTTCTCCAGAGGTAATCGAAGCATCACTGTTCCAGCGTTTACAGTCCTTTCCAAAAATATCTAATAAAGACACACGCTTACTGCAGGAGCTCGCAGATCTTTTGCTCGAGTTAGAGTATGCCCAAAATGAAAATTATCTGCCAGGGCTTAGTTTTCTTGACACTCCACGAGGGATAAACCCAATTGTTGAGAAGCTCCCATATGGTTTACAAGAGTCATGGGTCAAACAAGGAACAAAGTACAAAAGAGACAATAATGCATTCTATCCTCCATTCTCCTACTTTGTACAGTTTGTGAATGACCATGCAGAAATGAAAACAGATCCAAGTTTCATGTTGCATAGTATAAACATATCAGCTCCAAAAGTTGACAAAACTCCATTTAAACAAATCAGACAGACAGACAGATTTCCCGTGGCAGTGAATAAGACTGAGATAGGCAAAGCTAGCAGTAATGATACAACTGTTACTCTAAATCCAGACAAGCAATGTCCCATTCACCATAAGCCACATTCACTTGCAAGATGCAGAGGGTTTAGAATGAAACCATTGGATGAACGAAAGAGTCTTCTTAAAGAACACTTTATATGTTATAAGTGCTGTTCATCTACCAGTCACAGAGCTAAAGACTGTAAAGCCGTCATACACTGCTCAGAGTGCAATAGTGATTTACATGTGTCTGCCATGCATGCGGGTTCACCACCGTGGACTCCTAAAGAATCTGTTCCTCCGCCTCAGAACCATGGCGGGGAGCCTGATGCTCCAAATCCTGTCACTACAGCCAGCTGCACAGGAATATGCGGTCCAGGCCTTCAAGGTAAATCAGGCTCCAAGATATGCCTTGGAAATGTGTACCCACGTACATCTCCTGAGAAGAAAAGTAGAATGTACGTAATGTTAGATGACCAAAGCAATACGTCCCTAGCGAGGTCGGCCTTCTTCGATATGTTTAATGTGCAAGGCAAAATTCTCCCATACACCATGAGAACATGTGCTGGCATATCTGACACAGGAGGACGCAGAGCTAACGACTTTGTTATCGAACATATTAATGGGAAAGTATCTATGTTACTTCCCACATTAACTGAATGTGACCAGATTCCAGATAACAGACACGAGATACCAACTCCGGAAGCAGCGGCTGCTCACCCTCATCTCCAGCAGATCGCAGCGCAGATCCCCCCACTGGATCCAAAAGCAGACATTCTTCTCCTCCTAGGAAGAGATGTCATTCAGGCCCACAAGGTCCGCTGTCAGGTAAACGGCCCCAACAATGCACCTTATGCCCAACAACTTGACCTTGGGTGGGTAGTCGTAGGAGAGGTCTGCTTGTCAGGTGCTCACAAGCCCACTGTGAACTCTTTTAAGACCAATATCCTCAGCAATGGCCGTACAAGCCTCTTCACTCCATGTATGAGCGCAATCCACATCAAAGAGAAATACTCAGAATGTCCCATTCAACTCACACACCAAAGTGACCTGGGCGCTCAACTTTTCCAACAAACAACAGATGATGATAAGATAGCACTTTCTGAGGAAGATGCTTTATTCTTGGACATTATGCAAAAAGAACTAGTTAAAGACGAAACAAATAACTGGGTCGCTCCACTTCCATTTCGCTACCCCAGACAGCGTCTGCCCAACAATAGGGAACTAGCCTTTAAGCGCTTAATGTCACTCCGCAAAACACTGAAAAAGAAACCTGAAATGAAAGAGAATTATGTTGACTTTATGGAGAAAATGTTTAGCAAAGGCCATGCAGAACCTGCCCTTCCACTCTCGCCTGACCAAGAATGCTGGTATCTTCCTACTTTTGGCATTTACCACCCACAAAAGCCAGGAAAGATTAGGGTAGTTTTTGATTCAAGCGCACAATGTGACAATATCTCTCTTAATGATGTGCTACTAAAAGGGCCAGATCTCAACAACAGTCTTGTAGGAGTTCTGTTACGCTTCCGGTCTGATCCATGTGCAATTATGGCAGATATAGAGCAGATGTTTTACAACTTTTTGGTCAGAGAAGACCATCGTGACTATCTGCGCTTTCTATGGTTCAAAAACCATAACCTGGATGGAGAAATAGTGGAGTTCAGAATGCGAGTCCATGTTTTTGGAAACTGCCCTTCCCCATCAGTTGCTATTTATGGGCTGAAGAACATAGCTAAGGAAGGGGAAGCAGAATTCGGCAGTGACACAAGAGAGTTTATTGAACGTCATTTTTATGTTGATGATGCGTTAAAATCTTTCTCTTCAGCAGATGAGGCAGTAGATGTGCTTTGTAGAGCTCAGAAAATGCTGGCACAGAGCAACATACGCCTGCATAAAATTGCATCTAACTGTGCCGCTATCACCAGTGCATTCCCACCTGAGGACCTAGCAACAGACACACAGGGTCTTGAGCTTGGCCAGACGTCTCCTCCCATGCAACGCAGTCTAGGCTTGGGTTGGGACCTTGCTACAGACCTTTTCAAGTTTCAGGTAACAGTAAACGACAAACCATTCACTAAACGAGAAGTACTATCAGTCATTAATAGTGTGTACGACCCCCTTGGTTTTGCCGTTCCGGTCATTGTAGAAGGCCGAAACATACTAAGAGACATTTCCACTAACGTGACTGAGTGGGACACAGAACTGCCAAGAGCAAAACTAGAGCAGTGGCAGCAGTGGAAAGGTTCTCTCAAACACTTACAACAGCTTGAAATTCCCAGAATGTACACCTCAATACCGCTGTCCGCAGCTAAAAGGAAAGAGATCATTGTTTTTTGTGATGCCTCCATCAAAGCCGTGGGTGCCGTCGCCTATCTCAAGCTCACAAATTCAGACGGGCACTGTGAAGCGGGCTTTCTTCTCGGAAAAGCACGACTCGCCCCCAAGCCAGACACAACCATACCAAGGCTTGAACTCTGTGCAGCGGTACTGGCCGTCGAGGTCGCAGAGCTGGTTTTGGATGAACTAGACATCAAAGTCGACCAGGTGAACTTTTTCACAGACTCAAAAGTAGTGCTTGGTTACATTTCAAACAAAAAGAGGCGCTTTTACGTATATGTGCACAATAGAGTAGAACGTATCAGACGTTTCTCTCAACCTCACCAGTGGAATTACGTTCCCACTCATTTGAATCCAGCTGATCATGCCACACGTGCGTTACCTGCAGAGCAGCTCTCTAACTCCACATGGCTCAGCGGGCCTGCTTTTCTCACAGATTCAAAGCAGAGCCCCGTACAGACACAGACATTTGATCTTGTACATCCAGAGACCGATGGCGAGCTGCGTCCTGAGGTTACTACCTGTGCCACCATTCTGTCAAAAGGCAAGCTTGGTAGTGCAAGATTTTTCGAGTTGGAATGTGTTGCTCAAAGCCGTCGCTAAACTCAAACACACTGCCCAGTCATTCAAGAACAATCCTGGGAGCACATGTCACGGCTGGCACAAATGCAGTGAGCACTTAAATGAACACCAACTTGACCAAGCTAAAATCACAGTCATTCAGACTGTCCAAAGAGAGCTTTTTGGAGAGGAAATAAAGCGGATAAAACAAGGAGCACCTCTAAAAAACACAAGCTCACTTAGCAAACTGAACCCATTCATTGATACTAATGGCATACTTAGAGTTGGTGGGCGCATGAATAAAAGTGCTCAGTTACAGTCAGATGAAACAAACCCCATTCTCATTCCTGGCAAACACCACTTGTCCCATCTCATAATAAAATACTTTCACGAAAAGGTGCACCATCAAGGCAGGCATTTTACGGAAGGAGCTGTCAGAGCAGGAGGTTTTTGGATTATAGGAGGGAAACGAACAATAAGCAGTTTAATACACAAATGTGTCACATGCCGCAGACTTAGAGGCAAACGACAAGAGCAGATAATGGCAGACCTACCAGAGGACAGGTTGTCTACGGACCCTCCTTTTACACATGTGGGCCTGGATGTATTTGGCCCGTGGCCTGTCTCTGTCAGAAAAACACGAGGAGGACAAGCAAATGCAAAAAGGTGGGCTGTCATATTCACATGTATGAGTACACGCGCCATACATATTGAAGTCATTGAGTCAATGGACACATCGTCATTCATAAATGCACTCCGCCGCTTCTTTGCCATCAGGGGAGCCGCCAAACTACTGAGATCAGATTGTGGAACTAATTTTGTAAGCGCCTGTAAAGAACTACAGATTAACAAACAGGGTTGCCACAGCAACAAAATCTCCAACTTTCTCCAGGACACAGGCTGTAGGTGGCACTTTAATCCACCACATGCGTCTCATATGGCAGGCTCTTGGGAGCGGATGATAGGAGTCACACGCAAAATCCTGGATGCCATGCTCTTGAACGACAAAGATGGAAAACTAACACACGAAACAATAGTGACTTTATTGGCTGAAGTGACTGCTATTGTAAATGCGCGACCACTCACAACAGTGTCCACAGATCCGGAAAACCCATCCATTCTTACCCCTGCAATGTTGCTCACGCAAAAGGTTGGCGCTCCACCAGTACCACCAGGTCAGTTTGATAGCTGTGACTTGTTTCGAGCGCAGTGGGGACGTGTACAACACCTGGCCAACATCTTCTGGAGCCGATGGAAATCTGAGTACATCTCAGGGCTTCAGCACCGCCGCAAGTGGAAAGCAGTTACCCCCAACTTGCAAACAGGAGATGTTGTTCTGCTTAAAGAATCTCTTGAACACAGAAATGACTGGCCACTTGGACTGATATCAAAGACATTTCCCAGCGCTGATGGTCACGTTAGAAAAGTAGAGGTTAAAACTTTCCGTAAGGGTGAACACAGATACTATGTCCGACCCATAGGCGAGGTTGTTCTGTTAGTGTCTAAGGATATAAGGCTTAGATAAATCTTTCTTTGCCATTTGTATTTCCTTTATTTTGCTACATTTTATTTTATAGTATGCAGAACAGTTTAAGTGTGACATCCTAAAGATGCCAGACGGGGAGTATTCTGTCCCTCATAGTTTGATATGTTTCCCTAAGCAGAATTATTTTATAAAAAGCTGATGTAATTCCTTGTTTAACCATGGGAGTTTGCTATTTGGTTGCCATCTTTCTCTGTTTTATTTCAACTGCGTCTTGCGTTTTGTTTGTGGTGGAGCCACCTATGGGTGAATAGATGTAAGCAGCAGGCAGGGTCCTCCATTTTGAGTCCAGCACAAGAGGAGTTCACCCGTGAACCGCTCCTCTATGTGCCCTTTTACCACCCGTTTTTTCTGCTGTATCTTTGGCAAGACATAATCTGTGAGTGTTTTGAATGTTACAGAGCCTTTCAGTTGTGTAGAATCAACATGTATTTAGTTTGTTTACAATTCGTTTTTCCTGTGAGCCAGCTATGCTAATTTGCTATCAATGCTAGTGGTGTTAATTACAGTATATGTTACTAATGTGTGTAAGACACATCTTTTTCTTTTGATTTTTGTACCAATACATGTTTTTGTATGTATTTACAGTTTTACAAAATAATAATAAGAAATGGAGAGACCACAGTTCTCCTGCGTCCCATTTATTTTTGTGTTAAGCTCGCTGATAAGGTTGAGTTAGTGAAACACTCAACTGAAACCAGAAGACCCTGTGTTAAAAAAAACACTGTATGCAAATCTTCTCCTCCATCTGCTCCGTCCACTTCAACAGTTTCTATCTGCTGTTGGTCGAAATACAGCATGGAAACCTGCGGCTTGTATTCAATTGATTTCTATTTTGTCTAATCTATTGCCCTACATCACAACAGTAGTTATCTCAGAGCACTTTACAAAGCTGTTGATTCTCCTACACAGATCAGAGAATCAAACCGTTCAAACACAGGAAATGCAAAGATAACAAACACATGGAGACATTGGTCCATAAGAGGCAGAGACCAATGTTGACCCTCAATAGAGGAACAACTCTAAAAACACTGTGGGAGAAAAATGAGAAACCTCAGGAAGGCCCACAATGTTTATTGTACCCTGTCCCTGTAAAAATGAAAACCATGCCATGCCATCGAGAGAGATGTACCCCCACAGACGGACACACTGTAGATCCAGGACTTATAGACTGGTGCACTCAATAGTCCTGCAAGTACTGTATTTACAGAGAAGAATATTAGAAAATATGTAAAGATACTCTAAAGTGGCCAGAGAGTCTGATGCCATCATTGTAATCTCTTTTTCTGTTTCAGAGGGAAGTCCTGTGTGGAGTTTGCCCCTGGCAGTGACCTGAGCTTCCTGCTGACTGCCGCCCACTGACCAATCACAGCATCTGCCACAAAGACACAACACTGTTTTATGTGATAGTGTGTGCTTTGGATACAGCGCCCTCTACTGGCAGAAACATGTGTGGCACCCAACTGTATGAAATAAAGCCTGATTGTCATATTGACATGTATGTGTGAATTTTTACAAGATATAAAATGATTCAAACCAGTGTTAACAAACACTTAACATAAACTTTTGTTTAACAATAAACCGCTTCAGTCCTGGATCCACAGCCTCAGTCAACTTTGTAAAGTCCTTAGCTGTTAGGATTTTGGTTGATACACAAATTCTATTGAATTTTATTGAATTGAACATAATAATAATGCATTAGAATTATTATAGGATTGGTATTGTATGAGATTGACTTCAAGTTATTCTTTTTCACTGTGAGGCCTGAGAGCTCAGCTTCCACAGTCGCATTTCCACCAGTCCTACTCTACTCAGCTCTACTCTCTACTGCTTTCCCTGTTTTTGGGTGTCTTCGTCTTCTTGCTTTTGTCCTTTTGACCTCTTAAAGCTACACATGGTCCGGTATGAACAACCCTTTAGTCCCTCTTGGTCCTGGTTCTATCCAGGCCAAGCTGGTACTAAAGTGTTCGCACTGACAGTGATTGGCATGGAATTAATAAAAGCAACAAAATAAATAATAATATAAAGCAACAAAATACTGATAAATTTAATAAAATACAAAAAGCACCACAGTGTTCACACAGAGTTACAAAACTGAGCTTCATTCATGGTAAACAACCTGTGAGTCGTTAAACCAGCTCAATGACACCAGTATGAAACACCTCCACTCTCTCTGTTTCAGTGAGTGAGTTATTATAGACCAAGGCCACATTGAGGTCTTTACAATGTTTTTTTTAAATGTGGAATAATGATTAATTCCGAGACGTGGAACACTCTGGACGATCACCATTCTTCTTCACTCTCTCTTTACAGCCTTACAGTATATTGCATATGTCTTTAGTGATGGGGCAAACCGGAGCACCCAGAGAAAACCTACACAGACACGGGGAGAACTTGTAAATCCCGGACCTCCTCACTGTGAAGCACAAGCGCAAGAGCGTCCTTTCATAAATGTTTTGTGAAACAGACGACAAGGAGATTAATTTCAGAACACCTTTCTTTTTCAGATAAAAACAGCTAATGAATTTCTATCAATCAATCAATCAATCAACGTTTATTTGTAGAGCGCCTTTCCTACACAAGGCAACGCAAAGCGCTTCACATCCCCTATCACATCATGCATAAATCAAACACATTAAGAGCACAAGATATATTAAAAACATTAAAAATAAAATCACAAAAATTAAAAACCTTTAAACATTAAAATCACAGATGGGACTAAAATCATAAAAAGTCACAGTGCATTAAAAAGATTAAAGATAAAAACAAAGATGAAAAGATAAAATCATTCAGTTGTATATGCGCAGCTAAACAGAATTGTTTTGAGCCTAGATTTAAAAGATGCCAGAGTAGACGCCTGTCTCACATTCTCAGGAAGACGGTTCCAGACTCTAGCCGCATGAATCTGAAATGCAGTTTGCCCATGTCTAGTACCGACTCTGGGCACTAACAGGAGTCCAGTCCCTGTGCTCCTCAGAGTCCGGGTCGGTTCATATGGCACAAACATGTCATGGATGTACCTTGGCGCGAGACCATGGAGAGACTTGTACACAAGTAAAGCTGCTTTGAAGTCTATTCTCTGAGGAACAGGAAGCCAGTGCAGAGACCTGAGAACTGGACTAATGTGGTCGTACTTCCTAGTTCTGGTCAGGACTCGAGCTGCTGCATGTTGAATGTACTGCAGCTGTTTTACAGCCTGTTTGGACAGACCTGTGAGCAGGCCATTGCAATAGTCTAACCGACTGGAGACAAAAGCGTGTATAAGAGTCTCCAAGTCTGCCTTAGACACTATGTTTTTAATTTTAGCAATGTTTTTTAGGTGGTAATAAGCTGCTGATGTTACAGATTTTATGTGGCTTTTGAAATTTAAGTCTGAGTCCATTATCACTCCTAGATTTCTGACCTGATTTGAGGGTTGTAGAGAGAGAGCCTGGAGGTGACAAATAACGCTCTCTCTTTGTTTCTGGGGTCCGAAAACAATTATTTCAGTTTTGTCGGTGTTTAGTTGGAGAAAGTTATTTTGCATCCAATCACCGATTTGCTGGACACAGTGAAGGAGCGAGTCCACTGGTTCATGCTCTCCTGCTGTCAGGGACACATAGACCTGAGTATCGTCAGCGTAATTGTGATAAGAGACATTATTACTGTGAATCAACTGACCTAGAGGCAACATGTAAATATTAAACAGAAGAGGACCCAGGATTGACCCCTGTGGCACTCCGCAGGTCAGGGCCAAGTGGTCTGAGGTACAGTTTTCGATCTCCACAAAAAACTTTCTGTCTTGTAAATAGGACCTAAACCAGCTTAGGGCGGTGCCAGCAACACCAACCCAGTCCTCAAGTCTCTGAATGAGGATGCCATGATCAATAGTGTCAAAAGCAGCACTTAAATCTAACAGAAAAAGGACTGAGACTTTTCCTGCGTCAGTGTTTAGTTTGATGTCCTTTGTTACCTTTATTAGCGCGGTCTCAGTGCTGTGGTGGGGTCTAAACCCTGACTGGAACATATCATAAGCGTTATTGATTATTAAAAATTCTGTAAGTTGTTTATAGGCAACTTTTTCTAGAATTTTTCCCATGAAAGGCAGATTTGAAATGGGCCGATAATTTTTGAGTGCCAGGGCTTCCAGACTCCTCTTTTTTAGGAGGGGCCTGATGACCGCCGTTTTCAAGGCCATTGGGAATGTTCCAGATTCAAGAGACATATTAACTATTTGTGTAAGTGAAGGTAAAAGACTGCTCAGAACTGACTTGAGAAATCTAGGAGGTAATACATCCAGGCTGCATGTGGAGGAACTCAGACTAGTGATTATCTCCTGGACAGTTTCAATTTGTACTGGTGTAAAGTGCTATAAAAACCTAGCCCGCCTAATACATGAAATAATACATCTTTCAGTTAGATTTTAGAATGTTGGGCATCAGTTTCAAGGCAAATATTTTCTGGAAGTAAGTCCGGCAGTCCAGATATAAAGAAACCAAGATGGACCAAGGATGGACCCTTGCAGAACTCCATACAGTGTTTGAACTATGTCATAACTGCTTTCAACAACTAACTCATAATTCAACAATTACTACTCAATATATCAACTACTACTAATTCAACAAGATCACTCCAAGAATGTTTAAACAGCCGCTAAAATGCAAAAACGTGTCTCCCTGGTTGTTACTTTGGCGCCTGAAGAGTTAACTCCCTGCAGCGTCACTGTGGGCTTTCAAAACATGATGAAGCTGTGTGAGACCGCTTTGCCAGTAACTAACAAGTGTTGTGTTAGTAACTGTAATCCAATGAGTATTTCCAAACATCACACTACTTAATTACTTCAAACTATTAGTGAGAAATTAGTGAGTTCCAGCCGTGACTGTATAAGTTGAGGATCCAGCTGCAGAGTCTCAGCTCGATGACCTCACCCTGACGGAGAAACACAAATATTCTCTGGGCTTTGTCTAAACACTGCTTTAGTTGAAACAGATTCCTCCATCGCTGCATCAACTCCACGTGAACAGAGAACACTGAGAGTCTGGGTTTAAAAGTCTAAACATAAAGTCTAAATATTATATTGTGGTTTTCTGTAAATCAAACAGGAAAAGGTCTGAGTCTGTGGAGTTGAGTGCTGTTATGTTTTTACACTTTTGACTCTGCTTTCTGCTGTTGGCCTTAAACATGAAGAGGAAGAGGAAGATGAAGAGATCCTTTACTCGTCCCACAGTGGGGAAATGTCAGTGTTGCATCACCAGGTATAGAACAGTAGAAACGAGGAGCCTAAAACACAAGATAAAAGATCAATAACTCTATGCTAAAATAAAATAACATCTCTAATTTCACATGTAAATTTCTCCATTGTGAGATCAATAAAGTTTATTAAGAAGCAGGTAGTGAATGAACATGTTATCTTCTGCGTACAGAAAGAGCCGTGTGAGTCGCTGATTCTGATTGGCTGAGGGAAGGTGGTCCTCTCTTGTTCATGTTTCTGGGTGAAGAAGCAGATGTACCAGTTCAGAGGGTCCAGCACAGACTCCTCCACATCTGTTCTTCATTATTTCATTATTTCAGGACTAAATATGTTTGTGTTGACGAGACTCGTTTCTCCAGAGACTCCAGTTCGGTTTATTTTTTCTCAGAGGCGAGTTTATTTGCATAGCACAATTCTTACACAAGGCCACTCAAAGTGCGGAACATAACAAGATATAAACAATATGGGAATATTGATCATGGCAATACATACAATTAATTAAAAAAGACAATGTTTGTGCCGTAAAGAGCTCAAAGGGAGAAGGCAGAAGACCAGGACCAGAAGAGACCAGGACCAGAGGAGACCAGGACCAGAGGAGACCAGGACCAGAGGAGACCAGGACCAGAGGAGACCAGGACCAGAGGAGACCAGGACCAGAGGAGGCCAGGTGCTATATAGAACTCCAAGGGAGGAGGCAGAAGTAATTCAGTTCAATTCAAGGTATTATTGTATAGCCCTAAATCACAACAGTAGTCATTTCAAAGGACTTATCAGAACTGTTGAAATTGTTTCTGTTAAGTCCTCTGACTAATACTTGTCAGAAGTAGATAGATAGATACTTTATTGATCCCCGTTCGAGAAATTCAGGTGTCCAGAAGCAGCAAAACTAAAAAATAAAATTGATTATTCTAAAAATCTAACAATAGTAATAATCAGCAACAGCCCTTCAGGTAACAACAGCAGAGATGGAGTCGCCTCTGGATGGTGCAGGACTGGTCACAGCAGCAAAGGTGGAGTGGTCTCTTGGTGGAGCAGGACAGGTCACAAGGTGTAGCCTCTTGGTTTGGACCATTTTCTCTGCTCTAGTCCAAAGTAAAATGCTAAATGCTTCATTAGCATTTTCCAAAAAGTT